CTTCTGACGTGACATGCCAGCCACATGGTTAAGCTCTCCTGCCAGGCAGTGACAAGCGGAGCCCTTCCACTTCCTGTGGGTCCTGCTCAGTACAAAGCGTGGCAGAAGCAGAGGTCTCAGAGTCCATCAAAGCCATTGTCAAAGGAAGCTGCCGATACCAGTGATGGTTTCTAAATTTTTCCTTCTTCATCTGCTCTGAGAGATTTCTTCCTGCTTATGTAGGTTTTTATACCCAAAAGAGTGTCTGTTTTTTTTTTTAAAGTGTCAAGTAAGCAGTTCTGTCTCTTTTTCTGTCCTTCCCCTTTCCCTAAATCTGAGTCCTGTTTAGTTGAGCAAAGAACATCTGGAAATCTGAAAGACTCGTTTCATCCAGAGATTGGCGCATATAATTCAGCGTCTTTCTGGGACACGAATGAGCAGGATTAGAATGTGAGAAAATAAAGGTCTGTGGGGAGAACTTGTCCATGTCTTACTGCTCAGAAGTCCTGAAGACGCTGGCGTAGGTGGCCATGGCCTTTCTGTCTGTAAAGTCTCTCTTCACCTTGAAGTGGACCACAGCTCACTTGTGGACTTGGAGAAGACAGAAGAGGAAAAGGCTTGTACAGGGGGAGGGACCTGGGCCTCTCCACCACGAGGTCCTGTAGGAACTGCAGAGGAGGATGAGAGTCACTGGGTTAAATCAGGGTCCTCAGCTGTGTACCCTTCCACGTTGTCACCTCTGTGGTGCGGCGTGTCACGTGACTTGCTTTGACCAGAAGAATATGGTGACAGCGATGTCTTAAAAGACATTGTGTGATTTCACTTGCTTTTTTGTTTCTATGCCCTTGGACACGAGGAGACTGTGCCTTCGGAGATGCCAACTCCAGGGAAATGACAGGTCCTGGGGTGCAAATCTGATTCTGCACTGTCCCCAGGAGCTAGGTCCAGCTGACCCTCATTCTAAAGGCCTGTAATCTGTCCCTGAACTCACAAGTGAGCGAATTATGTGCTGCTTACTGCAGGCTGCTGAGTTTGGGGGTCATTTGTTACACAACATTATCATTAAAGTAGCTGACTAACACACAGGGCACATGATAGGATAAGAGTAAAAAAATGAGTAGAGATGGCTGACCTGGGAGGCCAGAAGGATGTGCTGGTAGAGTCTGAGAAGAGAGAAGGTGGTAAAGGCCTCTGAGAACAAAATGGACTATATTGTAAGCTTGAGATCAGCCTGGACTATACAGTGAGACCTTAGCTCAACCTGTTCCTTCAGGAAAAAAAAAAAAAAAAAGATACAGAACCAGCCATCCAAAGAAGAGCTCACAGGTGTCTGCTGGGGGCCAGGCTCTGAGCTGTCCTGGGAACCTGGGGAAGTTACTTAATTTCTGCATTTGAGGCCTGGGGACAACGGGGCTCAAAGTGCCTGCCCCAGGACCCTGACTCTGGAATCTGTTTCATAGACTGCATGTGCTGAGTGAGACCTGGAGCCTCACTCATTTGAAATCCCAGTGCAAAGAGTTCTGTGCTTCTGGGGACAGGCACCCTTCCTGGGCACCCTGGCAGCCTGAGAGGGGAGAGAGCACAGTTGGGTGGTGCTGGGAACACAGTGGGGAGCACACACTGACACTGTGTGTCTGGGGACCTTAGGTTGAAAACCCAGCTGTGCCATCACCAGATGGATGGGTCACTGCATAGCCCCCTGGGCGCACCCCTCCTGTATGTAAACGGTGTGGGTGGTGGTGGGGGACTCTAATGGCATTCACTGTGCTGAGGCTTGGGGGCAATAAGCATCCAGAGGTTGGCATATGCATCATAGCCCTGATCTCCTGCCCTATAACCTGGGTCTGACAGGGCCTGCTGGTGAGGCCACTGAACGTGTGTGAGCTGGTAGGAGTGCTGGGTAGGTCCTGCCCTGGCGCCCCATCTTGCATCTTTGCAGCTCCCTCTGCCCCCAGCTTCCTTGGTGCCTCTCCTGGAGTCTGTGAAATGGATTCCAGAGTCAGGGTCCTGGGGCAGGCACTTTGAGCCCCGTTGTCCCCAGGCCTCAAATGCAGAAATTAAGTAACTTCCCCAGGTTCCCAGGACAGCTCAGAGCCTGGCCCCCAGCAGACACCTGTGAAGCCCCTCCTGGAGGCACTGATGGAGGAGCTGAGCCCATTTTCTTCTATGTCTAGGTTTGCACTGCCCTCTGGTGGCACTGCTGAGAACAGTGTGTTTACTGAGGCTGGTGGTGTGTGACCTTCCCTTGACATTGGGGAGGGGAGGGTCCCCTATCTTGGGTCTTTGCATCACTGTTGGGAAAAGGGTATTTAAGTCCCCTCCCCCCAGTTTAGCTTGTAGCTCTTGAGGCTTAGCAAACACAGAGGCTTTTCACCCTTGTCCCTGGCTCCGCAGCCATCAAATAACAGTGTCCTTCTTCCAAGGCTCAAGTTTCTGTCTACTGCAGACGCCTTTTCTTCTGCCAAGAGGGAGGAGGAGTGCAGTAGTGTTTATCTGATAACTTTCCCCCTCTGCCACCTGGTTTCCTCTCATTCTGACTGTGGTTCTGGCTGCTTGCAAGGGTGAGAGGCAGAGAAAACAAGAGTGTCCCTCATCCAGGTCTGCAGTTGTCCACTGCTGCCTCGGTGCCTGTCCTCGTGCTCCAGAGCCACTTTCCCACTGGTCACTGGACATGAAATTCTGCAGGGCCAGGAGGCCACGTGGAGGCTTTAGGCCAGCCTGTCATTGTCTGACCTTGCTGAGGAACCTGTTAGAATCATCCACTATTTACGATTGAATTGAATCACAGGACATCGCTGAAGTACAATCATATTTAGCCTGCCAAACAGCCATTGCATGTGGTATGATGTCATGACACTTTGCATCTGAACTCTGTTTCACAGTAGAAGTGACCTGGAGTCCAGGTTTCTTGGACCCATTCAGGCCAGAACCCTGGATGCTAGACTGAAGAGCAGGGGAGAGGTTCTTAAAACCAGAGAGAAGACAAAGTTTATCTGAAGGGGCTGAAGTGAACCCCGGTCCCTGTCTCAGCTTCTCCTGTCCCTGGATTCTGCAGTGACCTGTGGGCTGGGCTTGGATGGTGTGTGCAGTAGGCACTGGCAAGGGGGACCCTGGAAAAGCCCTTCTGGCTGGGAAGTATACGTCCTGCTGGATAAATGGGTAGGGCTTTAGGAAGCCTTGTGTTTCTAGAATCACCTATCTCTAGAATCACTAGAATCACTCCATCTCTGTTACAAATCCTGGTGGTGTGGGCTGTGTGGGAGGCCAGGCTGAATAAAGGCAGCTCCGAGGTGAAGGATCCCACAGGTGGCTCCAGAACCTCAGGGTCAGCAGCTACCCAGGCCCATGCAGCAGGCCTCTGGAACTTACCCAAGGGCTGAGAGCAAAGTGGCCCAGAAGGCTTCAAGCTGGTAGAAAGTTTATAACTGCGTCAAGGATGAGAGTTTCCCTTCTGGGATTCACCAGCCTGCCTCACAATCATGGAACCAAGAGAGGCCTGGATACCTTGGAGCCTGGTGATGCCGTGGGGGACTTGGTGTCTTTTTTCCCAGGAAGATACCAACAGAGAAGAGAGAGAGTCTCAGCTCAGACCATTTTACCCATCTGTACATCCATCTTTTCATCCATGCATCCATCCATTAAGTCAAATGGGTGTCTACACATGCTGGCTCTGTGCTAGGTGCTTGGTGTGTAACAGTGAACAAAACAGACAAATATCTTTGTCTTTCTGTCATTCCAGCAGCTTGAGTGAAGCCATTAGTCATGATGTTGCTTTCCTATTAAACAGATCCTAACTTACCATGGTGTGATTAAACAGATAACGTGTGTGTGTGTGTGTGTGTGTGTGTGTTTTAAATCTTTAATAAATAGAAATGCCCAGGACAAAATGTGAGATTTTTAGGAGGTCTGACCCCAAATTGTACATTATAGTTTGAGTCTACCTATGTTAACACACGTGTGCACTGAAAAGGTGCCCGGCAGAACAGCCATTAGACAGAAGTGGCAATGTGGCCGTTGGTGTGGCATAAGATCTCCCAATCGTTAGGCAGTTCATGACCTTGGCAACCCTATGACCTTGCTTCTGCCAATGAGAGGTGGGTTCCTCTCCCTGCGTCTGTGGGGGCAATTGAGCTCTGCCTGGTCTTTCTGGGTTCCTTGTGTGAGGAATGCAGACACAAGCCAGGAGGAAACACATGGAAAACCATATTACAGAGACAAGGTGAAGTCCCAAGGAGATCTCAGCAGACCACCGAAATCCATTACCAGCTTTGTGAACCAGGAAGGCCCAGCCACTTCCTATCCTGCAGCACAGAGACCCCAAGTGTGAACATCCTCACCGGCCAAGCGAACCCCAGAAGCTAGAGACAGCAATGATCATCGTTGTTAAAGCAACAGAATTGGAGGCTGATTTGTGATTCAGCAATAGATATCCACAAAAAATGGTTAGCCTCTGGATTGTGGGGTTATGGGTTTTTAATAATACTTTAGTATATTTTAAAGGTTTCCACAATGACTATTTATTTCTTTTATAATTAGAAAAAAATATATCAAAACCAAAAACACATTCTAATTTTCCCCACCTTGTCAAGAGAGAAACCAGGGCTAAATATAAATGTAGGAACTAAGCCTGGCTTGGGAAAAAGCTTCCCATAGAAGATTTATTAAGTCCTGGGAAGGATTAGGAAGATACATTTCAGTTGATAAGCTCGGAAGAGGGGTAGATTTGGAAGGAGAAATCTTGGAAACGAATCTCAGTTTTTCTGGGTGACCTTGAGCAAGCCCTTGTTCAAAGTCGGTTTTCTATTTTGAAAACTGCAGCTGGCTGCGGGAGGAAGAGATTAGTGAAGGCAGGGCGCATCTTTCCCTACCCCAGGGGTACGGTTCTAATAAGGAAAATGGCCCAGAGAAGAACCACAAGCTATTGAAAAAACAAAACAAAACAATAAAACACCTTTAGGTGGACTTTGTGGCGTCTTTGTCTAAAACACCTGCCCCGCCCCTATTTTTCCCTGAGGCCAGGGAGCCAGAAAGCAGCGAAGGAGGAGGCCGGGAGTCTCCGGGTATCCTGGCAACGCGGTATCCAGGCAACGCGGTGTCCTGGCAATCCGGTGTCTGGGCAACCCGCGACGCACATGCGGCCCCAAGCCCCCTACCCCTGGGCTCCTCCACCAGTCCTCGGCAGGACGTTAGGTTGAGGTTGGTGGATTGAACCGGTCGCCTCTTGGTGAAGGCCTTGAAGGGAGTTCTGGGTTTCCCAAAAAAGACGCGGAAAAGGATCCCTGCTTGCAAAGATCAGGGGCTTCTGGACCCAGAACTGCCTGCTGGGAGGAGGATATCTCTGACTCAGACCTAATCCCACCCTCTCAACTTTGGATGGCTTGTGGAGTACGTTTGTTGTGACTGATAACTTTTCTTTCTCTTCTCTCCTTTTCTTTCGAGTGAATCCAGAGCCTTCATACTGAGCTGCATCCCCAACATTTTATTATTTTTTGAATGTGAAAGAGGGTCTTGAGTTGCTCAGGCTGGGTTCATACTTGTGATCCTCCTGTCTCAGCCTCCTTTCTCTACAAAGGTCTTTTCTTGGTCTCTGGGTTTCTTTTAATGTTTAAAATCAAACCCTGTATGTGGATGAGATCACGGACTCTGGCAATGCTCCCCAGGGTTCATGGCTTCCCTCCATCTCAAGAGCAGCCTGTGGCAGAGAGCTGGAGAAGATTCGAGAGGAGGGCAACTTCAGTGTGACCGAGGCACAGAGGAGATACAGTTGAGTTCTAAGGAACCAGGGGGGCTGGGGATGAATCCCATTCCCTATCCAAGTATAGTGGACCCAGGAGGCCCTGTCTGAAGGCTGGCATGTTAGTCATCTTCCTGCAATTTTAACAGCTGCCTGAGATAACTGACTTATAAAGAGAAAGGCTTTTTTTGACTTGCAGTGTTAGAAGTTTAGATCTTTGGGCTCATGGCATGCATCAGGGTGGAGCAGGCATCAGAGCAAAACCACTCACCTCGTGGCTAGAAAAGGCTGCACCCGGGGCTGGGGATTTAGCTCAGCGGCATAAGTGCCTGCTTTGCAAGCAGGCAGTTGTGAGTTCGATCCCTGGTACCGATAAAAAGTAAAACGACAAAAAAAAAAAAAAAAAAAAAAAAAAAAAAAGAAAAGGCTGCACCCCCACCAGGCCCCACCACCTCCAGCAGTGCCAGGAATGGGGGACAAGCATTTAACACAGGGGGCACTGGGGACACCTCATGTTCCAAATGTAGCGGCTAGTTCGGGGCACGTAGCATCAACAGCTTGGCCAGGTGCTTCTGTCTGTGTGAGTCCAAGATCTGATCAGGCAGGGACACCCTCAAAGCAGAGATTCTCGTGAATTCCCTCACTGTGTCTCCTAATAGCCTGGAGCTTACAGATAAGTAAAGGGAGGCAGGGATTTGACCCAACCAGTGCTTTGGTTAATAAATGGTAAGGCTGGGATTTGACCGAAGCCTCCTGGTTTCCAGAGCTCACACTGCTCAGATCTTTGCAGATCTGTGGCACTGCATATTGGTGGGGACAGAGCAGGTAGAGATTAGGAAAGGCTATACTGAGTCATGGCTGGCTGCTCCGGCACTGGTGTTCTAGGCTGAGGAGGATGTCGGGGGGTTTGCCTTTAGAGCCAGCAAGAGGGAACGGGGCGTCTCCCAGAAAACCTCAGCGTTAGGATGTCATGCAGCTGGTAGAGGTGAGTGACCTGCAAGAAGCAAAAAGGGTTGGAGAATGTTCTGCCTTTGAACTATCGGGTCTTAGCCTGGTCCCTGCTCTCCTCAATCCCAGATTTGTGATCTCCTGGTTTTCCTTGGCAGTGCAGGGGGAGAGGGAGGTACAACACCCACACCCCAGCTGTGAGCTGGCCCAGAGGAAGTGGAGGAGTTAGCACCTTCCATTTCCCAGTGTGGCCTGCATAGGAGGAAGAAAAGATTCTGGGATTCTAACCTCAAGTTTTTTAGCTCCCTGCAGTTACTAGTTTGTTTGGAGGCAAACAAGGACCTAAGGGTGAGCTAGGGAGGCTCTGTACTTCTGAGTGAAGGGTACCAGAAGGGCACGGGCCTTGGATCACCAGGCCTGCCATTCCTTTTCTGCTCCGAGGCTGGGAAGCTATGTCTGAATTCAGCTTTGCATGGAGGGCATGGGGGGAGGGGGGAAAGTTTTCCATAAATCAGTTGAAGACAGCTGGGCATGGTAGTACATGCCTGTGATCCCAGTACTCAGGAGGCTGAGGCAGGAGGATCACTGTGAGTTCAAGGCCAACCTAACCACACAGTGAGACCTTGTCTCAAAAAACCAAAACCAGTTGTTAAATACACGTCTGTGCGCATGTTCATGCGCATGTGTGTGTGGGCTGTCCTAGAGCCTTAGCTGGCTCTGCTGAGTGCATTGCAGGCGTGGAAACTGCAGGTCTGTCACAGGGGATGTTTTATTTTATTGTAAAGTCCACAAGATGACAAGTGTGCTTATGAAAAGTGTACTCCTGCCCAAAGAAATGGCAGCCGTTATCTTGAGTTCCACAGATATTACAATAGAAAACTGCTTTTTATAAATTGCACTCCTCAGCTGTGTAACTCTGAATGAGTTATGTGACATTTCTACAGCTCAGTTTATTCCTCTGTATAATTATTTCTATTATATTTGTAATTATGATCTCCTTTTCATTTCTAATACTATTGTTTGTTTGTTTGTTTGTTTGTTTTTTTGAGACAGGGTCCTGCTCTGTAGCCCAGGCTGGCCTGGAACTCACACCATCCTCCTGCCTCAGCCTCCTGAGTGCTGGGATTACAGGTGTGCATCATCATGCCCAGCCTTCTAATACTATTTACTTGTGTTTTTCTTGACTCTTACTTATTTACATCATTAGTCCTTTGATGAAGCTATAGTTTTGACAGTCTTACTTTATTCATTTATGCTGTCACTTTGTGATTCCCTTCCTTATTTTGGAGATTTGCTCTTTCTCTTATTCCATTGAGAGCTTAGCTCATTAGTTTTGGAAACTTTGTTCTCAAACATTATGGTGCTGCGACAGTGTCCTAAGATGGACATTTGTCCCCATTGGCCTCTCCGATATTGTGACTGGTCTGACTTGTATGTGGTCAGGCAACGGGTGCCAACCAGCTGTCATGGTCTTTGTTTCCCGAGCACTGAAGCCTGTAGAGCTCCTCGGTGGCTGGACAGCACAACCCAGAGTCACCGAGGACCTCTCTGTTAAAGACTCTGTGTCACTTATGTTGTCACCATGGTCACATTGCCCTGAGGTCAACATGAGGTGGAAGGGCGGACATCAGTTGTCAGAGGTTTGAATGTAAACAATTTACTTTGCTCTTCCTTTCTGTTCTCTTTCTTTCTTTCTTTTTTCTTTCTCTTTTTTAACATAAATCATGTGTGATTAAATTCCTTAATCTAAAAGAATACTTCAATTAGTGTACAAAGTTCTAAACAGTAAGGCTTTGTGTCCTGAACTGGCCACTTTTATCCGCTGTGGTAGCTGAGATGATATTTAAATCAGTGGTATCTTACAGTCTGGAATACAGCATATACACCTGAGATCCCAGCTTTCTAATTACTGCTCATGTTGACTCCTACAGGTTCTGATATACAGTGCTTATATGCACTGATCATTAACCACCTCATGATTTCCATTATGGTTTCTTCTTCTATATGAATTATTGAGCAGTGCGGTTTGAGTTTCCAACCCTAATTGGTGCTCTTGGCTGTCTTTCTCTTATTGATTTATAATTGTATTGTATTGCAGTGAGATAGCATGATTTGTATTATATTTATTGATGCTTCTTCTATGCTTGTAAGTAGAAGGCTGCTCCTCTGCCTGCTAGGGGATGGTCTCCTTCTCCTGCCAGCTCTACTCTTTTCCTATCTCTCTGCTCAGCTTGACTTTGACCCAGGGACTCAACTCAAGCAACCACTGGGCCTTACTGTGCCTGGGGCTGCCCTGGGCTCTGGGGAATGTTCCAGAACATTCCAGATCACTTTCCTCCTGAGTTGCATCTTAAACATACTATACCCTCGGGTTTCTCCTGTAGGTCTTGGTCAGACCTCTGGAACATGCATGTGATTTTCATGACCTGGAAAATCTGGGGAGGATGCTGGGCAGTGGGCTGGGGTGGATTTTGGTGCAGTGAAGGAATTGGGCTCATGGCAGAGGGGGCTCAGGGCCAAACATGAGCCCAGGAGCACCTGGGTGGGAGCTTACTGGAAAGACAGGTTCCCAGGACTCACTTAGCGAGCTTCTAAATCAGGAGGGCTGCCATGGGGTTTGGAAGTTTGTATTTTTAACAGGCTTGAGAGAGTCCTTATATGGCAATCTGAGAAATGGCAGAATGGAGGGATTTGGAAAGTAGGAAACAGCGTAGTTGTTTTTAAAGTTGGGTTCACAGGGAAAGTCTTCCTAAGTGTGAAGGGTTTGGGGGTGGGGATGGGGAAGGACTTGACAAGCGTGGGTGTGATTCACTTGCCGAATGAGTTTGAGAGGAAATGAATACAAATGGTCTCCATTGCAGTTCTGCTGCTGGGTGGTGGAAATTCTGCAGAGGGCACATGGCTTATACCATCTGTGTGCGAGATGAAGCCTTTGGGGGTGGCACGGTGCTTAGTCTAGAGAGCCAGGCACGCCTTGTGACTTCCTTATAACCGGAGCTTATGCCAAGTCTGTGAGCTTCTGTGTGTACAAAGTTGTGCGTAAAGAAAGGCAGTGTCTATACATCATCTTTCCTTGCATCATAATTAGACAAGGTTGAAAATGTAAAGAGAACAGATTGACTGGTTTTTTTGGTACCAGGGTCCAAACTCATGATCTTGCGCTTGCCAGGCTGGCACGCTTTTGCCACTGAGCTAAATCCCTGGCCAGATTGACTTTTATAAGCTAAGAATTATATAAAAAATAGAAATCTGTCTGACAATCACTGGATTTCAGGATTCTCTTGTGATTGGAGGTGATCAGAGAGTTATTCTTTTTTTATTCACTCCAACATTTGTTAAGATCGGTATTCAGTGCCGGGCAATGCTTTTGATGTGAGCCTGGTGTAGTGGTGTGTGCTTATAATCCCAGTACTCCTGAGGCAGGAAGATCACTATGAGTTCATGGCCGGCCTGCTTCATAGTGAGTTCAAGGCTAGTCTAAACCACACAGTGAGACTCTGTCTCAAACAAAAACAAAAACAAAACAAAACTTTTAATGCTACTAAGAAGAGTGGGAAGAACGGTCTGTGTAGCTGGTGACTTGTGGTGGGCAGAGACCTGGACATTTCTGAAGGGCAGTCCTTTGCTTGTCATCTTCACTGTTCTTCCCAGGTCATGCACTTTGGAAAGCTGGCCTGAGATGTTCAGTACAGCCCACAGTGACAGACAGCTGGGCGCAGGTCTCTTCTCTTCCACTTAGTAGAAGGAACAAGCAGTCTACACAGTGGTTAGAATTTTGGACTTCGTGGTCACAAGAAAGGTGATCAAACCTGGTCCTAGATGTTTATTTTCTGTGACTCAAAAGCAAATTGCATAACCTGAGCCTGTTCCACCTCTTAGGATGGGGAGATGAGTGATCCCTGTGTCTATGATCTTTAGGAAGATAAAATGGGCTATGGGTTAGTGTCACCCCCAGCACACAGCAAATGCCCAATGTTATGAGTCGTTTTTCTTAAATAAGTCATTTATAATCTAGGGATAAAGACACAGTGGCAGGTACTCGACTAAGTGGTGGCATCTATGTGTTGCAGGTGGTACCCACAATGATCTCCCAGGGTCCAAGCGATGCTCTGCCAGTGCGACATACCCCAGTGGGAGTGCCAGCTCCTCACCCTCTACAAGAATGGGTCTGAGGGTCAGTGAGCCTCCAGGCCTCCTTGGAGCAAGTGCTCAGCAGGTGTAAGTAAGGGCTGGTGAGCAGCCATTGTGGCTGGTGTAAGCTGTGTCCAAGAGGTCCCTAGTCCAAGGGGCATCACAGCCTGGTCAGCAAGGCATGAAATCTGGAGTCTGATATCAGGGTTCAAATCCTAACTCTGCTACTTTATTTGCATTTCCTTAACAATAAAGAATTTTGAAGCTGGATATGGCCAAATACACCCATAATCCTAGCACTTGAGAGGCTGAGGCAGGAGGATTGCCATGAATTTAAGGCCACCCTGGGCTGCATACTAAGTTCAAGACCAGCCTGAACTGCATAGTGAGACCCTGTCTCTACAAAAAAAAATTTGAAAAATTTTTTCTAAATATTTATAATAAAAGTGAGTTTATTGTAAACAATTTAAAATTAGAAAAAAATATTAAAAATAAAAAGTCACAATAATTGCACATTTTAGAGAAGACATGTTAACATTTTGATTGTGGTTGAGGTAGGGCAGACTGAATGCAGGACCTCATGCATGTGGGGCTCTACCCCTGAACTATACCTCTAGTCCTAATATTAACTTTTAAAAAATTTATTCATTTTTACAGACATTAAAGGAAGGCATATTAATTTTTTTTTATTTAAGAGGAAAAAGAGAAAAACACAAAACAAACCAAAGCGGTGTAAGGGTACACGTAATACAGAACTACAAAAAAACAAAACAAAACAAAAAAAACAAAACAAACAAACAAAAACATAACAGTAAGAAATCACCTGTTAGTATATTACATATTATCATCTTGAAAATAGTTCCTCAAATCACAGTATCAAAGAATACAAGGTGGACATTCAAACAGGTAGACTGCAAACAGCTGTGTTCAATGATCCAAAAACATTGATACAGTCAGCTATTTAACACCTCTAAACACACTTGCTGTTATATCCGTTAGAGCTCTTTTTCTTTTTTTTTTTTCCCTCTCTTTTTTACAACAAAATTCACACAGTTTGGATTTCATTACTCCTTAGTGCTTATTACTTTTTTGGGGGGGGGGAGAATACAGTCAAATATGGCAAAACAAAGCTGTCAGTCAATACCAAGGATAGACATAGCACATGATGTAGAACAGAGTACAAGTTTATCAACAATGGTTATCAACGTTGTCCCTTGTTTCCTTAAAAAGAATTGTCTATCTCATTAGATATTATAAAGTTGGACAAAACAGTAGAGAACAAGACCAATAAAACTTAGGCATTGTAAACATTACAGGACTTCCAAAGAAGACAATAGTCAAACCAGAATGGGTATCTTAGTGAATCTTATTGTCTTCAAAGTAGTTGCCTATGTCAGGAAGGCATATTAATTATGCTAAAGAACATATTTTGGGCTGGGGGTTTAGCTCAGCGGCATATAAGCGCCTGCCTTGCAAGTAGGCAGTTGTGAGTTCCATCCCCGGTACCGATAAAAAGAAAAAAAGAACATATTTTATTCTCCATTTTCCCAAAAAATAGCACCTGGCATAGTAATTTTTTTTTTTGTCTTTTTGAGACAGAGTCTCGCTATGCAGTTCAGGCTGGCCTTGAGCTCACTTTGTAGCCCAGGCTGGTCTTGAACTCCAACGATCCTCCTGCTTCAGCCTCCCGAGTGCTGGGATTATAGATGTGAGCCACCATGCCCAGCTCCAAAATGACTATTTTAAGCTTCACTTTGGGAGTCCTTAAAAACTTACACTCTTAAATTACCTTTATTAAAGTTATTAACAAATTACTGCAAAAAAGTCTTAGCATAGCCAGGCATAGTGGTGCATGCCTGTAATCTCTGCACTGGAGAGCCTGGGGCAGGAGGATCATGGGGAATTCCAGGCCAGCCTGACCCTGTTTAAACAACAACAACAACAACAATAATAATAATTTTAAAAAACCCAACCAAATAAACGACAACAAAAAAAAGTCTTAATGTAAAAGAGACCTCAACTCCTTGGGTTTGGGAATTTTTGTAAAGAAAAATACTTGATTCGTCTCTCTATATGTGAGCTACAGCAGAGTCAAGCTTCTTTTTTTTTTTTTGAGACAGGGTCTCATGTAGTTTAGGCTGGCCTGGACTCCCTATGTAGCCCTGGCCGGCTTTGAGCTCAGTGATTCTCCTGCCTCAGCCTTCCAAGTGCTGAGGTTACAGGCATGCATCACCACACCCAGCTAAGCGCCTTTTTACTTAGGGTAATGTTGCTAGGGACCCTAGTCTGAGATTATTCTAAATTTAATATTGCCCCTTTCACCATCAGGCCTCCATTGAAATTGAATTTCAAGTAGAAAGAAAGAAGTGTGAGAAACAGAATTTTGCTGCAGACCAAAATTATTCTACAAAACACAGAAACAGTAACAGCTCACCATGAACTCAGGACAGAAGATGAACTTTACACCACTTTCCTTTGGTGACAGGACAGCTAACGAGATAGATAGTGTCTGGGACAGAAGCCCTCTAGGTTGGGTACAGAGACAACTTTGTGGTAAACCGTGTTCTCTGCTGATATTATTCTGGATATCAATAATCTGCTGAGGCTGGGGATGTAGCTCAGCAGCACGGCGCCTGCCTGGCAAGCGTGAGGTCCTTAATTCCATCCTTGGAACCAAAAAACAAACAAACAAAACCCCAATCATATTCTGAAAGGATTTCCCAATTCTTTGTTGTCTTTCAAGCATAATATCATGTAAACATGTTTACAATTTTTTCTGCATTTCCTAGCTTTTAGTGAGTTTATCCTAGACTTGGGTTTTATAGTTTGTTTAGCTCTACAAACCAAAGCAGGAACTGAATGGTTGCACTGTTAGCATCTTGACTTAATGCAAAAAAAAAAATCATTCTAAGACAACTTTTAAGATTAAACTACTGCCAGAGATTTAGCTCAGCGATGTAAGCACCAGACTGGCAAACACTAGGTCATGAGTTTGATCTCGGTACAAAAAAAAAAAAAAAATTAAACTACTATTTATTAAACTACTGTTTTTATTATTCTGCTTCATTATGGCCTATAGGACTTGCTGGTTTCAAAGGTCATACAGCCAACATCTCCAATGTCACCTGCAGACCATTTGAGGTACAGTTGACACTTGAAAGCATGTTCCTGTATCCTGTTGTCCGCTCTGAAAGCACAGGTCAAGGTGATCATGCCTTGTCTCAGCCTTTAGGTGGCCTTGAGGATGTGTATGCAGTGAATCAGGCAGCTGAGGACACAGGACAGCTCCAACTCAGGGCCTGGCCCCTTGGAGAAAGCCCTTTGTGGGTCACCCCTGGAAACTCCCACTTCCACAGTTGTGAGTGGCCTGGCCACACGACACCCAGCACTTTCCGCTGGAGCACTGTCCTCTGTGGCTGCTGGTGGCCCCAGGGCCTCTTGCTGACCAGTCCCTCTGCAGAGCTTCCCTGATGCCAGGGGACAGCACAGGCAGGCATCTTGCTGCTGACTTTCTTCCCATGGATCCTTTCAAATAGAGAAGCAGGAGACCAGATGTCTCACTCTGTGCATTTCCATTTCCTTTTTTTATACCAGGAATCGAACTCAGGACCTTGCACTTGCCCTGCAAGTGCTTGTGCCGCTGAGCTACCTCCCTGGCCTAGGTTTTCCACTTTTTAAATGTCTCCTTTGGTAAGTGCTCCTCCCTTCTACTCCCTTCATTCCCCCACCCTAATCTACATTCCCTCCATCTGGAGCTGCCCGTACTGGACGTTTCCTGTAAATGAAGTCATCACAGGTGGCCCTTGGGGGTCTGGTTTCTTTCCCTTAGCTTAATGGGCATATTATTCCTTGTTTTGTTTGTTTAACCCATGATAAAATAAATACCTATAGCATAACATACGACCTTCTATCTATGTTTCATGAGGCTTGTATTGTTGTGTCACCCTATTCTCAAAACATCCTGATCATCCCAAACATAATCTACACCTCTTAAGAACCAATGCAGCATTCTCCCTGCTCTGCAGCCCTGGAAGCCTCTGGATGACTTTTGGTCTTCACAGAAGTGGAATCATACAATATTTGTTGTTCTGTATCTGACTTCTATTGGTTAGCACAATGTTTGCAAGTTTCACCCATGCTGTAGAATGAAATGGAACCTCATTCCTCTAACAGTTGCATAATATGCCACTGAGTTTTTGTGCCAACTTCTGTTTGTCCGTTCACCTATGGATGGACTCAGGTTGTTTCTGCTTTTTGATTACATGAATATTCCACAATAAGCTTTCCTGTATATGTATCTGAGTCTCTGTTTTCAATTCTCTTGGATACATACCTAGCATTACTGGGTCGTATAGTAATTCTTATTAAACTTTTTGAAGAACTACTAAATCATCTTGAGACATTTTAAAGCACGTATCTATCGAATATGTTTCACTTCCTCCTTGAATCATGAATTGGGGGCTTCCGTGGAGGCGTCAGCAGAGCTCTGTGTGTGAGAATGCTGAGACTCGAGTGCGGGGTGTGTGAATTCAGAGTTTCCTGTTGGAGCACACGAAGACTCCGTTCCCTCTGCTTTCTCTCCAGCACTGCTGCAGATCTTGGCCGGGAGTCCTCCCCCTGCTCATCCTCCTCTTCCTCCTCCTCATACTCCCATCGCTCCCTGGAAGCCATGGCACCCGAGGTCCATGAGGCCCAACAGCCTGCAGAGTTCAGCCTGCTCAGGCTGCAGACAAGTGAGTGGCCACAGACACCCCGATGTGTCTCCATGCTGAGTTCCGCACAGCTCTGCATCTGTGGGCTGTTGGCATGGGGGTCGCTTGTGCCAAGCGCAGGACTCACCTCCTTTCCAGGGTTTATGCTTGCATATAAACATAGTCGGGTGCTGTAAAATGATGTTTTGGCCAACAATGGGTAGCAGATGGGATGGCGGTGCCATTAGGCTGTCACAGGGAGGAAAAATTTCTGTCGCCCAGTGACATTGCTGTGCTGCCAGGTGTGGGAGGCATAGCACATGCAGTAGGTGCAGTCCTATCGCATGGTGACAAATGACTGAGCTATTGGCTTATATACCCACTGCACTATATGATAATGTACTTTTTAACCTTTACTTTAGAGAGTATTTCACCTTTATTTTAGAGTATTTTATTTTATTTTATGTTTTGTCTTTTTGAGATAGGGTCTCACTATGTAGTTCAGGTTGGCCTTAGTCTCACTTTTTAGCCCAGGCTGGCCTTGAACTTGAAATCATCCTCATGCCTCAGCTTCCCGAGTGCCAGGATTACAGGAGTGTGCCACCACGCCCGGCCTTTAGAGTGTATTTCTTTTACTTGTTTTTGTTTTGTTTTTGAGATGGGGTCTTGCTGTGGAGTTCTGGCCTTGAACTCACTATGCAGCCCAGGCTAGCCTCAAACGCTCAGCGGTCCTCCTGCCTCAGCCTCCTGAATGCTGGGATTATAGGTGTGCACTACCATATTCTGCTAGACCTCCTACATACTAAAGAAAGTTTTGTTGTTGGACAGTCTGTTGTGTTCTGCTGGCAGATGACTCATTATCTCCTGTTTGGAAGTCACACGCACCAAATAGTCTGTGTCATCCCGAGGACCTATATCATCTGGTTTGTCATGACAAACCGAGGACCTATATCATCTGGTTTGACATGCCATGATAGTCACACAACACTAAAGGATCCTAATGACACTTTTCTTCTAGTTGTGCAAGGCATGCACATACGTGAAGTCAGTAAGTCAGAGCAGACAAACCCTTCACACTCAATGGTGAAGAGACCGTGGTCTCTTTCTCTGTCACTGTATTTAGGTCTGTGTGGCTACTTTAGACCTAACCATTTCACAGAGAGGGACACTGAGGCGTGAGATGTGTACACCACACAGGTGTACACAGCCCAGAAGCAAAGCAGTACCATTCAAACCCAAACGCACTGACCTCCAAAGCCTTTCTGGGCCACCCCAGGCCCCAATGTCGCTCAAGCAACCCTTGGGCTGTGAGAATCCTTTATCGTTTAAAATCACTGTTAGCAAATTTGCAAGAAAAATATCAAACACAACATAGGCGCTGAGGTCCAGTGCCGACCTGAGGTCTTTGTTACTTGGCAGCGTTATGCATGTGTACTGTGACACACATGTGCCAATACTTGTCCTATCCAGCTGGGATGCCCCAGTTGGACTCGCCTTTCCCTGCTGGGTGAGCTTTCTATTTTGTCTACACAGGTCTGTGTCACAGGTGCTTAGGAGACTGGCACTATGTTCCCTGCCTTCTGTATAACTTTCAAGCTTTATTTTGGGAGGAGAAGGTAAAAAGGGAATAAATATGAAGTCTGTTGGGTAACTTCCCTTTTCTCATTTTCTGTCCTTTTATGTCTCGTGGTTGATTTGGCTTCTGATGCATGAGGTGTGGCCCAACTATACTGTGAATGCACGTTTTTAAAAATTTATTACAGTAAAAGACGTTGCTAGCTGGCTGTGGAAGTCTACGCCTGTAATCCTAGAATTGGAAGGCTGAGGCAAGAGGATCTCCGTGAGCTCAGGGCCAGCTTGGGCCACAAAGTGAGTTCAAGGGCAGCCTGAACTGCATAGCAAAAACCCTTCTCAAAAAAACCAAAAAACAAAGAAAAAGACACATTGTTAAGAATTTACCTCACAATGTATCCCCTTACTTGGAACATGCTTATGGCTTCATTCTGGCCACTTTCTGAAGCAGTTCTGAAGCCCTCTTTCATGAGTGTCTTTGTGAGGTGTGGTAAAAACTTGGATGAACCTGCAGCCTAGTGCCGTGAATGCAAGAGCCGGCTCCTTAAAAGCGTCCCAGTGTGGCCTTCCCCACCTGAGCTACCAGATCCGGACTGGATGACTTCTGGAGATTCCTCAAAGTTGAAATGACCACAGAAGAGAAACCTTTTTGATAGATTCACAGCATGGAAGCAGCCAGAACGACATGAAACTAAAGACACAACAGAGGATTCCAGAACTGCTTCACAAAGTGGCAAGAACAGCAGGAGGAGTGTGTTCAATGTAAGGGAGGAGGACGATTTTGAGGGGATTCATGGCAGTGAGTCTTTTACTGTAATCAATCAAGTTTCAAATGAAAAGATTCAGACACACACCTTACACTTTGACCCCACCATGTAGACTGAAGGAATCCTGCACATTCCTAAGGCCGTTTTGCTGGGTAGTGCCCTGGGGTTTGGCCCCACCCTTGGGCACTGTGCTATCTGGGGGAACTCTGATGTCTTGCAGAAGATGGACACCGACCTGAGTGGACGTTTTACCCAAGGTTCAGCAGCAATATCCACACCTACCACGTCGGGAAGCGGTGCTTCTTCAATGGGGTCTTTCTGGGCAACAGGCGGTCCAAGTCTGAGTGGACAGTGGACAAGCGCCTCGGGAGGAAGAGATACGGTAAATCTGTCCTCTGAGGTCTCCTCGGTGTGGGCCCCACTGTCACCTTCACACAGCCAGGTGGATGAGAAAGCAAGGGCTTGTTGGTAGGTGATGGGTTTTGGCAAACCAGTTTACACTTTTGTTTTTTCTCAAAATTTCATAAAATGTTAATGTGACATTTAAGTTATCAGGGAAGTTCCTTCAGACTGTTACTAACAGAAGTCTCCCTGAAGTCTGGAGGAAATGGCTGTTTCATGAGGTGCTGCCTGTCATTTGTGCATTTGAAGTGTATTTTTTGTTTTCCACAAGGATAACATCCCATGAGCCTTAACCTGAAGCACACGTTGCTACTTTGTAGCTTATTTAATTAAAAGCAGTTAAGATAAAACATTGTATATGTTATATATATATATAGGTATCTCTTTAGTTTTTAAATTGATGCCCAACTTACCCACAACTGACCTCCCAAAAGACCCAAAGAGGCTGCTGAGTGCCTGCGCACCACTCATGGTCCTCAGTTCTCCTGAAACCACCAGGCGAGAGGATGAAGGAGAATGCCAGGAGCAAAAGAGAAACAAGTACAGAGTTTTCATTTCTGAGCTTTAACATAGGTTTTCCAACTTAGAGCAGACACAGGTTTGCTTTTCTTCTTCCTCTCCCTTCCTTTCTCCCTCCCCTTCCTTTTTTCCTCCCCCTCTCTTCCTCTCCTTCATTTCTTCCTTCTCTCTTTTCTTTCTTTCCCCTTCCTCTTCCTTTTTCCCTTCCTTTTTTCCTTCCTTCCTTCTTCTGTCTCCCTTTCTTACCTCTTTCTCCTCCTGTCTTCCTTGCTCCAATCCTTCTTTCTTTCCATGGATAGTGTGTCAATACCAAATCCCTGCAAAGGCTTATTTATGAAATATTTGTTGAATCTGTAGCCTAGAGTACCAGAAGCAGCGTGCTCATCTCACACCATTTAAGAAACAGAGTCTTATTTTTGTACTGCAAGCCCGCAATGTGCCTCTCCCCAAATACTGCATCTTCCTCCCCGACTTCAGCAGTAAGCCCCATCCTACATTTACTAAAAAACAAAAACACTAGGTAAATTTTCAAATAAATGACAAAGTAGAGAAAATAGCAGGATGAAATCCAATATACTAATCCAGTTAGTATCAATAGTTACCAACCCGTGGCTACTTGGGCTTCATCTTTACCTTTTTCATCTATTTTAAAGCAAGTTCTAGCCATCGTATTATCCCATGTCACAGAAAAGGATGCCTTATTGTTGTTGTTATTAATAATAATAATAATGATATGCAATACTAAGGATTGAATCCAGGGCCTCACACATCCTAAACAAGTCATCTACTACTGAGTTACATCCCCAGCCCTGAAAAGGGTTATTTTTCATTAATATGACCACAATACCACATCAGAGGAGCACATCTTTAAATGAGCAATCATTTCTTAATCTCACCTAACAGTCAGTGTGCAAAAGCCCAGCTGTCTCATAAGTGCCATAATTTTTAAAAATTAAGTTTGTTCCATCAAGATCACGCTGAAGTCAGTGAAGTGCCTCTTAAGTCTCTTTCAGGTGCCCCCTGATCTCTGTGAAGTTTGTTTGGTAAGGAAATGAGGCCACTTGTCCTGGAGCGTTTACCGTAGCGGGGACTTTGCTGCTGGCCTCCTGGTGCCGTTGAACAGGTTCCCCTCCGCGGTAACCGGGAGTAGGACACCCAGGCTCTGCTTGTTTGGGGTGATCACTTTTCAGGGGGCAGTGTGCAGTGGTTTCTTAACGCCTCAAATGTCACGCTCTCTCCACCTCCAGTCCCCCGTGATTTCACTGCCACCCTTCATACTCTTAAGCTCCACACAGGACAGGTCGCATCTTCCTTTGTGCGATTCTCTTCTCCCTTTGTTATTTCTTGGACAGGATGCAGAGGGATGGCTCGGAACTACCCACCAGCAGTCATTTTAAACGGTGACACATTTATCATAGGGGAAAAAATCAGCCAGAATATGTTCAAATCATGCTGTCTTAGCTCATCAGCCACGGTGAGGCTGTTGGTGGAATTGTCTGAAGGCCTAATAGTTGCCACAGAAGACAGGATATATGGTGTCTATAGGTTGTAAGGAATAGAACTGGGGATACAAATTTTCATTTGCACAGCTTTTCCTAGAGTTTAGCATGTTGTATTAGTCAGAATAGGACAGATTCTGCTGCAGTAACAAACAGCCCTTGAAATCTTAGCAGCTTAATCATTGATGTTTGTTTTTTCCTCCTGTAAATTCCTCTGTGGTTGTTATTTAAGGATCCCTCTGCTTCTACCTTGTGGTTTTTCTGCATCTCACAGGTGGCTTCTAAGGTTGCCACATCAGGGTAAAAAGTACTGGGAGTTCACGTTTGAGCTCCTCAAAAATGCTGCATGTTGGAATTGACCCATGTCAGCCCTGCTCGCGGCTTTTTGATCCGAGCAAGGCTTGGCCTCAGGGCACCGGAGTAGTTGGTAAATATTTTTTCCCATTCTGTGGGTTATCTCTTTACTCCTTTGGTGGTTTCATTTGCTGTGCAAAAACTTTTTAATCTGGTGCAATCCTCGTTGTTGATTCTTTGTAATATTTCCTGTGTAATAGGGATTTTATTTATAAGGTTTTGCCTATATCTGTCTTCAAGAGTTTTACTTATTGTATTTTCCAACAAATTGTTTCTGTTTTTATATTTAGATCTTAGATACATTTTGATTGTAGTTTAATACCTGGTGAGAAAAAGGGGTCTATGTTCAATTTTTGACATGTGGAAAACCAGTTTTCTCAGCACCATTTGTTAGAGGCCATCTTTCTTCTAGTGAATGCGTTTGGCCCCTTTTTCGAAGGTGAGGCAGCTGAGTGTGGTTGGAGCTGTTTCTGCATCTTTTATTCTGTTTTACTGGTCCTTTTTTTTTTTTTTTTTTGCTAGCACCTCGCTGTTTTTATCATAACAGTTTTATGGTACAACTTTGAATCAGGGATTGTGATACCCCCTGCTTTTCCCTTTGTCCGGAATCGATTTTGCTATGTTAGGTCTCTTCTGTTTTCCCATGGATTTTGGGATTGTTTTCTCCAGTTCTGTGAGGCATGCTGTTGGTATTTTAATTGCAATTGCATTAAGTTTGTGTAACAGTTTTGAAAGTATGGCCATTTTCACAATATTGGTTCTGCCTATCCAAGAACAAGGGTTCTTTCAATTTTTGGACATTCTCTTCAGTCTCCTTTTTCAGAGTACAGGTTTCAATGTATAGGTCCTTTGCTTCTTTGGTTAGATTGATTTCTAAGTATTTAATCTTTTGGATGCTATTATGAAAGGTGTTTTCCTAATTTTTCTCTCAGTGAATTCATTATTCATGTACAATAATACTATTGATTTTCAAGTGTTGAACTTCTATCCTGCTATGTTACCAAATTTGGTTATTAATTGTAGGAGTCTCTTGGTGGAGTTTTTGGGATCTTCTATGTAGAGTATCATGCCATTAGTAGATAATGATAATTTAACTTCTTCCTCCTTTATCCATGTCCCTTTCATTTTTTCTCTTGTCTAATTGCTCTGGCTAATGTTTCCAGAACTATCTTGAACAGCAGTGGTGACAGTGGACATCCTTGTTTTGTTCCTGAATTTTTTTTGTTACTGGGGATTGAACTCACCACCTCATACTTACCTGGCAAGTTCTTAAACCACTGGGCTAAATCCCCAGCCCTTTGCTCCTGATCTTAAAGTGAAAGCTTTTAGTTTTTGACCATTTAGTATGAGTTTGGCTGTTGGTTTGGCATAGATGGCCTTTATCAAATTGAAATGAAGAAGTTTTTTTTTTTAACATTGATTGGATGTTGGATTTTGTCAGATGCTTTTTCTGCATCTATTGTGATCATCAATTGGTTTTTGTCCTGGGTTTATTAATGTGGTGTAATACATTTATGACTGCTACCATTTCTTGAGTGCCAGTTATGTGCTCACACTGTTCTTGTTGCTTATGAGAGCTTTGCAAAATTGACATTTGGAACAAGCAGTTTACAAACAAAGCTAGCTACGAAGGCTTAGGGAGGTTAAATAGGTAAAGGGCACAGAGCCAGAAATTACAGAGTTCAGGTGTGGCTGACTTCAAGGTCCAAACCGTTCTCGGCACTTCTCGCTGTCACCTGACCCCCACCTGTCCACACCCGGGTTTGGGATTCAGAAGCTTCCGTCTCTCTTATCCCCTGCTTTAAGTCCTCATCCAAGGAATGGGCCCAGATGGTGCTGTGTCACTGTGTGCAGAGCTAACAGGAAGTCTAGACATAAAGTCTTAGTTATGGGAAAGCCCCTGTTCTGTTTCATTTAGTTTGTTGTTCTTTGGGGGGAACAGGCTCTCACTGTGTCTTTACTCTGGCCCTGAACTCCCAGCACTATTCCTCCCTCCCTCTGGCCATTTTACTTTTTTTGGGGGGTGGGGGGTGGGGGGTTGGCGTTGAGAATAGACCTTGCTCAAGATGCAGCAGACAATTCTGTCTGCATCTCTTACGCTGAAACTTCCTTTCTGTTCATTCTGATTGATTGATTTTAACTTATTTAAAATTTGTTTTCGAGACTATGCATTGATTGAACCCAAGGCCTTGCCTGGCGAGGGCTCTGCCACTTACCCACACCCTATCTTCTTCTAGCTGGCTTCTTATCCCCTCTCTTTGGCATATTTATTTATTTACTTATTTATCTCTGTCTCTGTCTGTATCTCTATCTTTTGTTGTTTTTTTTTTTTTTTTTTTTGAGACAGTGTCTTGCTATGCAGTTCAGAATGGCCTTGAACTCACTGTGTAGCCTAGCTGGCCTCAAACCCTTAGAAAGTCTTTTTGTTTTTTGTACTGGGACTTGAACTCAGTACCTTGCACTTGCCAGGCAGGCACTTATGCCTCTGAGCTGTATCTCCAGCCTGAAAGTCTTTTGAAAGAGAAAGATTTAGCTCAGTGGCATAAGGGCCTGCCTGGCAAGCACATGGTCATGAGTTCGATTCCCAGTACAAAAAAAGAATTCAGGCATGGTAGTATATATCTCGGCACTCTGGGAAGCTGAGGCAGGAGGATTGCCCATTATCTGAGTTATTATTCAAGGAGTTCTTGGTGTCCCATCCTTGTGGCAAGAGGTGCAGGACACTCAGTCAGAGGTCTCTGGAATCCTTGCACTGAGCCCAATCCTGCACCATCTGTGTTAAATGGAAACCCCATCCAAACCGAAGCCTGTGCTTTCCCCAGGGGAGGTGACCACAACAATGCCTTTTAGAAAATGTCCCAATCTTAGCTCCCACTGTGAGCTTCATCTCCTCAAGTTGAGGGAATCACACATAGAACTTTAAGAAACTTCCATGGAACTCCTAACTGGAAGGTCACTTTCAGGCCTTTGTGTAAAGCTATTTTCATATGTTTTCCACAGACATTGATCCCCGCAATGGAATCCCAAAATTAGCCCCAGGGGACAATCCATATATGTCCCCGGAACAGAGTCAAGGCTTCCACCAGGCAGGGTCCACTCTGGCGCCTGTGAACTTTTCCTTGTGAGTACATGCTGATTCCAGGATTATTTCTTTCACTTTAAATGAAGTATTTCTCTGTTCCACATAAATTATGTTTTAAAAGGGATGGACTGCAGTAAGACATGAGTAGGTAAAAACTTACAAGGTTCAACTTTAATTAGTGTGTGCACACAGATGAGTGTGATTGCAATTATGAAGGACACAAGATTTTAAAAATATATTTTTATTTTTAATTGATACCTGGTAATTGTACATACTTATGGGATACAATGGGACATTTCAACACATGTATGCAATGATATGTAAGATCTTGACTACTAAAAGGTGGTTGTTACTTTTTTCCTGTTTCTATTACCACAAACTTGAAGACTTTTGAATTTTCACACTGAATCAGATAGTGATTACAGCTAGGTGTGGTGGCACATGACTGTAATCCGAGCACTTGGGAGGCAGGAGGATCACTACAAGTTTGAGGCCAGTCTGGGCTCCATAATGAGTTTAAGGCCAGCCTGGGCTACATAGCAAGACACTGTCTCAGAAGGAAAGAGGAGAGAGAAAGAGAGAGAGAGAGGAAGAGAGGAGAGGAAGGAGAGAGAGAGAGAGAGAGAGACAGACAGACAGACAGAGCCAGAGACAGAGACAGAGACAGAGTGACTGACTGACTTAAATTTATGTATTTATTTATTTTTAAATTTTATTTAAGGAGAAAAAGGAAAAAAAGCAGAAAAAGGGTACAAGTTATACAGAATTTCAGAAAAAATTAAACAGTAGGAAATCACTAGTTAATGGATTACATATTGTCATCTTAGAAATATTTGTTCAAGTTACAAAATTAAAGCATATAGACTTCCGGGAGAACATGGCGGACAGATAACAGCAGCTACGGAGGCTCTCTGAAAGACTCGGCTCAGAATTCAGGAATGGTGTGGAGTAAGGAGACATAAGCAGGTGGAGATATGCTCTGCTGACCCAGGAACGAACTGGGCTGAGAGAAACCAACTTGGAATGCAGTCCTGGTGCTAGAACAGGAACAGAGGGGCCTCAGTGTGGAGGCTGGAGCCCGCGCCATTGGAAGCCGCGATTTGGGTTTCCTGCCGCGCGGCGGCTGTGTCTACATCGGCTTGGCAGGGAGAGAGACACGCAGAAGCTCTGAGAATGGGAATCGGCGAACGGAGTCGAAAACAGAACGGGCGGGGAGCCGTGCACTGACTTGTGGTGAGGTGAGTGAGAGAAACTGACACTCTACCACAGTGTGACTCCAGCGGAGGACATTCTGGGACTGGGCAGACTTGTGGGAGCGGGGCGCTGCAGCGACTCCAGCCACGTATCCCCCTCTCAAGCGGGATTGGTGAGAAGTGCCTAGCCTATGTGACGCTGCTGGAGGACCCAGTAGGCTGGCACAACCCAGATCCCAGAGCCTGAGGGTGGCCTGGAGAGGCAGGCCCCGCGTAGGCTGCCTGGTCTGGAATTTCCTGGTGTGCTGCGGTGAGCGGGAACACCTAGCCGGCACAATTCGATCAGGCTGTGGCTCACAGGGAGGGAAGCTGGGCCTCCTATATAAGCTTGTATATATAAGGAACAAAGAATATGGGAAGAGCGAGCAACAAGAAAGGCTCCTCGGCCCCCAATTCTGAGAAACAGGTAATAGCGGACACAGCACCAATAGACATAAAGCGCCATCTAGAGAGCCTCATAGATCAGTTCAGGAATGACGTTATTAATGACCTGAAGCTAGAAGTAAGCAGAATAGTTAGAGAAATGCTAAGCACCACCCAAGAAAAAACGGATGGTGGAATGGAAGAACAGAAAAAGAGGGGAGAATTGTTTGATGGAGAAAATAGAGAAAGCATAGAGTACGTGAAGCAGGTTCAAAGGGACTACCAGGAAACTAAAAACTCTCAAAAACTGGCATAACAGCTTGAAAGAAACTAAGGACAGACTATCTGAACTGGAGGGCAGATTTGAAATATGGGAGAATGAAATGGAAAACTTCTTAAAAGTAACAAAGAAACAAACAGCAATAATACAAAGACAAGAAGATGATAAGAGGATCCATAACTTAAGAATTAAGAACATAAAAGAAGAGGTAGGGACACAAACAAATGAACTACAAAAGCTACTCACAGAAATAATCCAGGAGAATTTTCCTAATTTAGCAAAAGGTAAAGATACTCAGATGTATGAGGCATACAGGACCCCAGCTACCTACAACCCAAACAGAGCAATACCCAGGCATATAATAATAAAAATTCCAGAAATTCAATACAAGAACAGAATATTAAAAGCTGTCAGAGACAAGAAACAGACCACTACAAGGGAACACCCATCAGAATTACAGCAGATTTCTCTGCACAAACCATCAAATCACGAAGAGCATGGGGGGAAAATAATTTAAGCTTTGAAAGATAATAATCTCCAGCCAAGATTGAGATATCCTGCACAACTGTCCCTGGAAATTGATGGAAAAACAAGGTGCTTCCAGGATAAAGAGGAACTGGGGGAATTTGCAACCACCAATTCAACTCTACAGAGAGTATTGCAGGATATTCTAAAAAAAGAAAAATACAAAGAATCCAGAAATAGTGGCGGGGAGGCCACAATGAATAACAGAGAACAAAATGAAGAAGACAAACTGACAACTAATGACAGAAAAAGAGCTCAACAGGAATGAGGCAGAGAAGATTGGATGATAGGAACAGCTATTTTGGAGAAAAGGACGTCTTAATAGGTAATACTGATTTAGTATCATCTTGTTTTGAAGTCTCATCAAGCTTTTGTTCTTCTGTCTCCATTGGTCTAAACAGGTTGTATCTTAGTGGATTTTATTATGTACGATAGTACAAGCAAAAACTTTTAAAGACAAGATTATACAGAAACCATTGTTCATTTTATGTTAGTTGATTCTAAATACCCTGTAATGCTGTCATTCTCTTAAATGGTTTTACATTGTTTTGATATATTTAATGCTACAGTATACGAAGTTGTACTCAAGGATTTCAAGGAAAGAGACAATATGGTAACTACTTTTATGTCAGGATTATCTTGTGGTGAAACACTATTCTGCTTAAATGGTTATGTTTTGATCTGCGCTGTTTTGCTGTTATGCCCTTTTTTATCTCAATCTCCACTCCATTATTTACTTTTTTATTTTTATCCTTTTAATTAAGGGAAAAATAAATAAAAATAGCAGGATATATTATAGTAACCCACTTTGACTTTCCATTATCTTGATTTAAAACCCTGTATTACTCTCACCATCTTGTTTTTGACTGATGTCCCCCTATTCTGTTTTGCTTGATAGTACCAGGTTCGAAAGTTTAGGCAGCAGCTGTGAAGATAGTGAGATTCATTATGACGCCCATTCTCGATGACTTTTATCTACTTTTGAAGACCTACAATGTCTCCAATGTTTTGGTTTTGTCGGTTTTGTTCTTTACTGTTTTGTTCAATTTTATTATAACTGATGATATAGGCAATTCTATTAGAGATAGCGGGAGGCATTATGGTAACCATTATTGATCACCTTGTATTACGCTTTTACATTATCTATTATGTCCACCCTTTTGATTTGATTGACTCTGTTCTGTTATGTCACATTTGGTTCTACTCCCTTCCAAAAAAGTAATAAGAACTGTGGGAGTAACAAAACCCAAAATGTGTAATTGTCATTGTACAAAAGAGAGGAAAAGAAAGTGCTCTAAATGATATAACTGCATGTATATTTAAGTGTATAAGATAGAAAATGATATCACTGAGTTTTATTGGATCATTGAACAGAACTGTTTGCAGTATCATTGTTGGAATGTCCACTTTACAAGCTTTAATTTTGTGACTTGAACAATTATTTCTGAGACAACAATATGTAATCCATTAACTAGTGATTTCCTACTGTTTATTTTTTTCTGTAAATCTGTATAACTTGTACCCTTTCTCTGCTTTTTTTTTCTCCTTAAATAACTTAAAAAAAAATTAAAGCATATAAAGTAGACATTCAAACAGTGAGGCTGCAAACAGTTCTGTTCAATGATCCAACAAAACTCAGTAATATCATTGTCTGTCTTATACACTTAAATATACATGCAATTATACCGTTTAGAGCACTTTCTTTTCCTCTCTTTTATACAATGACTATTACACATTTTGGGTTTTATTGCTCCCACAGTTCTTATTACTTAAATTTAGACCAAGTGGTTGAGGTAATGTGAGAAGATCATTAAATTAAAAGAGAAGCTAGGCATGGTAGCACATGCCTGTAAGCACTCTGAGAGGCCGAGGCAGGAGGATCACAAGTTTCAGTCCCTTTAGGGGAATTGAACAACTTAGTAAAAACATGTCTCAAAATAAAAAATAAAAAGGGTTGGGGATATAGCTCAATGTGAGGGCCCTGGGTTCAATCCCCCAGTACAACATACACACACAAAATAAATAAATGAAAAAGATAATTATTGTATTATACTTTAAATATTTTAAAAACTATTTTTTATAAACTATTTAAAAAATATTTTTATTGTATCATATGGGATACAATGATTGTAGTAAAAATAATGAAAAGCAGTACAAATCATGACGTTTGCTGTTTAAAAGTCCATATTTAAAAATTTAAAACCAAGAAATGAGACCTTTTCTTGGAAACCATCCAGTGATGTGCTGATAGCAATGTGGCAGAGCCAGACCAACTTCAGGGCGTCTTTCTGGTTTTCAGAGTGCCGTACCAGAAGAAGTTTGACACGTTTATTCCACTCGAGCCTCTTCCACCAACTCCCAGGTGAGTGTCCCCCCTGTCCCTGTATTATATCACACCTTTGTGAAAATGCCAGCCACGCCCTCTTCTCAGGGAGGAGCTACAGCCAGTAACCCCAGGGACTTCTGAGCCCCAGCAGGAGCACAGGCAGTTCTGGAGACACGTAGACATCTGGCACTTGGGATGGACATGTGTCTAGTAGATGAGGTTGGCCAATTACCAGGTGCCAAGTGTCATGCCAGACATGCATGCTGGGATAGGAGACAGTCTGAGCAAAAAGGCCGGTTCTCTGCTTCCAGGAAACGAGTCTGTTGGAAGCTGGGTGCTGTGATACCAGGGGCTCAGGAGACTGAGGCAGGAGGATTGTAAGTTCCTATTAGCCTGGGAAACTTGGAAACTCAGTGAGATTATGTGTCAAAATGAAGAGGCCTGGGGATGCGGCTCAGGGTGCTTGCCTGACATGTGTGAGTCGCTGGGTTCCATCCTCAGCAAGGGCTGTTAGAAAGGAAAGATATACACGGAAATGATTGCAACCAGGGAGGATGGTTGGAGCTTCAAGTGGCAGGAGAAGGTCAAAGAGACCTAAGGAGGTCTCTGCCAGATGGCAGAATTGAGCAGGACACTCAGTAGGAGTCACAAAGTAAGATTTCCTGAAAGAAGTGAAAACACACTCCGCAGAGTGGGAGCAGCCAGTCGGAAGAGCTCACGGCCCCATGGGGCAACGCTGGGTCCAGGGGCATCACAGTAATATTTTAGGAAAGATGCATTATGGGGCTGTGCAATGCTCATGTTTATTTTTTAGGAATATTTCTGTTGATGAATTATTAATTTTAATTTTCTGAGTTTTACTATCTTAAACAACATGTAGTTAACAGGAAAAAAATTAATAAAATAAAAGTTTTTAATATGCAGTGAATGTGTAGAATACACATCAACATTTTCAGCATCAAATGTTTACCTGCTTACAAGATCTAAAATACGACTGCAGGAATAAATGCCAATGTGAAGGTCACTGAGAACACAAACAAAACTCTGCCACAGAAATCATCTCTGCTTCAGCGACCACAGCTGAGGCAGTCTTCACACCGGGCAGCGGTACGGCCTGGACCCAGGTCTCACTACACTGACATCACACGCACTTCGCTTTCTTTTCCTGTTTGTCACCTTTCTTGTCTTCCTCTTTCGTCAGGAGCTTTCTATGATACAATACGATGTGCATTTAGCAGGAAAGTGAGACAGCAATAAAACAAAATATCAAATATGTAACGAAAGTTTGGAATAAACATCAACATTTTCTATGTCAACTATTTGCTTAATCTAAAAAAAAAACCAACAGAAATAAATTGTTATGAACTACAGTGAGATACAAATAAAATCCTACCTCAGAAATGATCTTTATTTCCATTATGAAACCTGAGGTGGTTTTCACACAAAAGAATGGTATGTTCCGTACACAAGTATCACTGACTCTGTTAGCACGTGTGTTTTATTTTCCTATCTTGTTTGGTAGGACGTATTTGACATCTTGCTGGTTCCTTCTTTTCTTAGGAGGTTCTCATGATGTTTTACCTGTCTGCTCAGCTCATTGATCTGCTCCAGAATTCTTTTCCAGAGTTTTCTGTTATTGCTGTTCCAGAAATCGAACTCAGGGCCTCACTTTTGTGGAGTTCTTCAGGAAAACATAAATTGTTCTTGCTCTGTGTAATATTTATCAGTTCTAGTCCTAATCCTCTAAGAAAATTTTCTCAGTGATATTTTGTGTTTGTTATTTTCTTTGTAAACGCTGAAACTGTTTATGCCTGTCATGTTTAGCATCCAGTAAAACACAACTAGTAGTCAACCTTGGGTTTCAAGCAACACCGTGGTTGGTGCTGTATAGCTCATTCAGCATCTCCTCTGCCTTTAGTTTTGTTGTAAAACATGACCATTTCTGGCTTCATTTGTGTTGAAGATTCACATCGATCTTTTTTTGTTGGTTTGTTTGAAATAGTCTTGCTACATAGTCCAGGGTAGGCTTGAATTCAACTATGTACCAGCTGATACTGAACTCATAGGATCCTCCTGCCTCAGCCCCCTGGAATGCTGGGATTACAGGTGTGCACTACCACACTTGGCTTCACCATCAGTCTTATCATAATGGTGTAATATTGACAGTGCCAATACAATTTTGTGTTTCTTCACCATATAAGAGGCAAAGGTGTCTTTCTGAAATCCACAGATTGTACCACACATTTCTCTATTGTAAATTTGCAACACTTTTTCTGGAATTGCCACTTTGTCCTTGTCAATAGTTCCTGTGCATCAACCAGTGGGTTCTTCTTCCAAATGTAACATCAATGTAACTTGTGAACCAATTGCTAAATGTGACATTTGGGTTACTTTTTTTATTTTTTAATTTAATTTAATTTTTTTTTCATTTGGGTTACTTTTTGAAATAGGTGCATGGAGTCTGTTCACAGCATCATGTGGTTTATTACTGCATGAATAAAGATGGGGTAGTTGAATTCCAGGATAAATTTCTAAAGTCAAGTTGTGCATTGTCTTTGCATCTACCAGGGCATACATTTTTTTTTTTTTTGTCTTTTTCCTTTTTACCGGTACCAGGAATCGAACTCACGACTGCCTGCTTCCAAGTCAGGCGCTTATGCCGCTGAGCTAAATCCCCAGCCCCTAGGGCATACATTTTTATACCACATTTGGAAGTTTTACTTGGTATATATTGCTGAACCTTCAACAACCACAAAATGAAGCAAATTGTCAGTTCTCATGTATTCAGGCAGTGTATACATTGCTTGACAATTCAAAGCAAAACTTTCGAAAATGAACGAAAAGCAGCCAAATTGTCAGATTTTTCTCTGAAAGGTGCATTTTTTTGTCATCAAAACATAGGCAATTTTGAAAGAAACCAAGTATCTTGAGTGTCATCATTGTTCTAAAAATTTCAATACCACAGCTGTCACTTCTCCATAAATTCTTTAGGCTCTGACAATTAGAATAATAAAGTCCTGCTATAAAGGCTTTTAGTTTAGATAGTGAGATGTCATAATAAATACATTTTTGAGTAATACTATCAACGTATATAGAATGTTTTACTAATATTTCATTATTAGTGTGTTCAAAATATCTCGTAGCATATCGCCTGGTATAAACAATTTCCAACAATGAAGTTCAGTGTTGGCATTCCATCCAGTAGGTTTCACTCCTAGAAAGAACCTAATAACATTTTTTGACCTAGTGCTAACAATGGATCATTCAAATATACATGACCATTTTGTAGCATCTTGATGAGCTGAATATTTATTTACATTACTGTTTTCTTCCTTATTGAATCAAAGCTTTCTGGATGGACTTATCTGTCATTTCTTTTTTTTTTTTTTATATCAGGAACCAAACTCATAACTTCATGCTTGCCAGGCGGGTGCTGTGCCACTGAGCTATATCCCTGGCCCTCTATGTCATATCTTGCTAATTTTGTCTGACGTGATCCAAGACACCATAGGCAGCCGAATCACCTGATGATTTCACTTTCAGCCTTCTCCCAAAGTTATAAAGCAGATTTTCATGTTACATTGTACTGAATTGGGCTAATTCTACAAGAACAATCAAAAGAAAACACATAGTAAAAAAAATCATATATGCAGAAAAATGTAACTGTATAAAGTAAGTAAAACTCACTCATGTATACTTTTTTTGTTTTTGTCTTTTTGAGACAGGGTCTCACTATGCAGTTCAGGCTGGCCTTGAGCTCACTTTGTAGCTCAGACTGGACTCAGACTTGCAACGATCCTCCTGCCTTAGCCTCTCACCCACGTACACTTTGACACACATGCACACACCTAGCCGTTCCTCATACCAAGTAGCTGAACACAAAGATTGCTTCCTGTGTTCCCCATCACAGCTCCTGAGGTGCACAACTGGCTACCATTTTCATTAGAAAAATATGGTCATAGTCATAGTGTATTTTGCCTGCCATGATGCTCCTGTTAGTCCTGGGATATGGGCAAATCCACGGTTAGAGGTGGACAGGATTCACCTACCTGATTGATTCAGCCCACCTGCTAAGAGGGGCAGTTTTTGATCATACAAGGTTTGCAGAGAGGGTATCGTAGTGTCCAAAGCCCACAGGGTGGTCAGCACCACCATCTTGGAGGTGGATACAGGCCAGGGTCTTGTACTGCTGGTTTTGTGCATGACTAGAGCTCTTGAGGGGGGACAGGATCAACCTTATTGGATTTTCGTTATTTTGGCATGGTTGTTCTTCCTCTGTGTGGTTTCTCCATTCATGCTGATGGCTTCCTGCTGCTCACTGTTCTCACCCTATCTCCTTCTCACCACTCCCCTGCTACTCCCCTAGCTCTTGGGCACTGTCTTTCATATGTAAATACCTCTTTTTATGTAAATATCTCTTTTTACATGTATGAATAACAGAATATCAGTAAACCTGGTTTTCCTAATCTGTGTATATTGCCAGCCCTTTGTATTTATTTATTTATTTTTTGGTACCGGGTTTTTTTTTTTTTTTTTTTTTTTTTGTCTTTTTCCTTTTTATCGGTACCAGGGATCGAACTCACGACTGCCTGCAGGCACTTATGCCACTGAGCTAAATCCCTAGCCCCTAGGTACCGGGGTTTGAACTCATGACCTTGCACTTGCCAGGGAGGTGCTTATCCCCGGCCGAGCCCTTTGTATTTTTGAGACAAGTTCTTGCTGAGTTGCCCAGGCTGGCTTTGACCTTCCAATCCTCCTGCCTCCTGAATAGCTGAGATTACAATCATTTTGCTGTGACTGGCTTATTTGCTTTTTAAATATCATTTTTGTTTCTACTGAATGATTTTTCTCCTGCTTTTGGGTCACATTTTCTTTCTTTCTTCCTTTTTTTTTTTTTTTTTTTTGAGACAAGTTCTCACTATGAGTTCAGGCTGGCCTTAAACTCCTGGTGACCTTTTAGTCTCAGCCTCCCAAGTGTTAGGATTACAAGGATGTGCCACCACACCCCGTTCAATCTTCTGGCCTTTTTGCAAAGTTAGTGATTCTTTTTTGGTTACTGGGCATGGCAATTTTATGTTGTTCAGTGTATGGATTTTGTCTTTTTTTAGAGTTCCCGGTTTTATTCTAGGATCGGGAGTTAATCATTTGCAATTTGATGATATTTTAATTTTAAATAGCTATTGGCTTGATCTTGTTTTTCTTTTCTTTTCCTTTTCTTCCTTTTCTTCACGGCGCTTCATTTGGACCCAGAGCCTCTACACCAAGCTATGTCCCTGCAGCATTTTGAGATAGGCTGGATTTGAATTTGAATTTGTGATCTTCTTGCCTCAGCTTTTCAGAGTGCTGGGATTATAGGTTCCTGGCTAATTGTATTCTATCCGTATTTAATCAGGATACAAAGTTTAGATACAGACTAAGAAGGTTGTCCTAATTTTCTTATTTTTCTTTTTTTTTTTTTTTGAGACAGGGGTCTCGCTGTGCAGTTCAGGCTGGCCTTGAGCTCACTTTGTAGCCCAGGCCGGTCTCAAACTCACAACGATCCTCCTGCCTCAGCCTCCCCAGTGCTGGGATTAAAGGCAGCCACCAGGCCCGGCCTTATTTTTCTAACTTGATGGAGAGTTGGTGTGTTAAAATATTAGAATATTAGCGTGTTCCTCTCTATTCTTGTTGTGTCTTTTGACATTATCTTTTTCTTACTTAATGCCTTTTGTCCTAAATTGTAACTTGCTGAGTATTAAAATTACAGTTCTTGGCTGGGCATGGTGGCATATGCCTGTAATCTCAGCACTCAGGAGCTGAGGCAGGAGGAGTTTGAAGCAAGCTTAGGCTACATAAGGGAGTTCAAGGCCAGCCTGAACTACCTAGCAAGACCCTCTTTCAAAAAACAAAACAATGATTACAACTTTTACTTTATTTCACTTGCATTTACATTGTGCCTTATCTGCAGCTGGTGTTTGCAAATTCCATACCAGACAAAGTCCCACTCAGATTACTGTCTTGTTCTTACAGCTTGCCTTTCTGGGTGAAGGAGAAGGCCAACCATCTGAAAAACCAGATAAGGGAAGTTGAAGAGCTGGATGACTGGCAGCCTGCAGCGCCTTTAATGCAGGGTTTATTGCCATCTGGTGCATCAAGGAACTTTCAAAGAACATTGTGAACACTAGCAGCCCCTGGAAGAGCAGGTGTTTGATAGGCTTTATCCTGAGAAATGTGAGAGAGGTCCCCAGGCAGATGTGATGGCTGTGCCTTCAGAGTCACCTGTAGTGGTTGGTGACAGTTACGCAGAAGATGCCACCTCTAACCTCGTCCCTGGATCTGCAGGTGTGGACATCTCGAGGTAAAGCTAAGCAGACCTGGCTGCTGCACCCTGGTGAGCCTTTCCAGTGGCTGGGGCTGACCATGTAACTGTTTTTAATTAAATGTTGAATTCTAATGAAGAATCACTGGTCTTGGTCTTGTTTAATTTTAGGTTTTGAAAACTTACAGAACTAGGGGCTGGAGATTTAGCTCAGCGGCATAAGCACCTGCCTTGCAAGCAGGCAGTCGTGAGTTCAATCCCTGGTACCGATAAAAAAGAAAAAGACAAAAAAAAAAAAAAAAAAGTAACCAAGAAAACTTACAGAACAGTTACAGAATCATCAGACAGATACCTGCATAGCCTTTACTTGGATTCTTGGATTCTACAGTTGTCAGTGTCTGTCTATACCATCACTTTAGTTAGATTTGTCAGCATACAAATTTTGAGGGGCACATAGACATTCAGACCATAGCAGTGAGCTTTCATTAGTTTTGGGTAAAAGTATTCTTCTTCTATTAATTGACTGCCTGTGGTACTGGGAATTAAGCCCTATCAAATATTAAACATTTGTTAATATTCTGCAGGACCCACTAAGAGCTCACATTTCCAGTAGGAGAGATGCAGTTTGGTTAGATCATTTCTTTTGCTCTTAGCAATTTGGCCCTCGAAGCTAGGCAAGTGAAACACAGCTTGCAGAATTTGACTTAGTGAGACATTTTAGATCTGGAGCCACTCACACTCATGTGCAGGAGCTCAGCAGTACTGAGGAAGTCTCTGGGTATAGAAACACCTCCGCCAGAACTGAGGACTGTAACAGATTTAGGGCGATGTACTTTGGAGGGGGTCTAGGAAAAGTGGTGGGAGCCCACTGAGATGACAGGTGTCCTCCCAGCACTGCACTGCAGGAGGACTTCAGCCTGACCGCATCCTGAGGAGTGGGGAGCCCACTGCTGTCTTGAGGGCCAACCTTGAGATGCCTCGCCCTGGATGTCGTATGAATACTCACATGAAAAGTCTGAGGGCACAAAGGAGCTGAGCCTCATATAGATAGGAGCTATCTTGGGATCAGAAGGAGGGGAAGTCTTGCTGGCTGGCTGCTAGGTCGGCAGTAGAAGAATCCAGAATGACTGCCTGCACACTGGAGAAATGAAGGATTTAGTAGCAGTCAAAGGTTTCTTGGGAAGAGATTGTGGTGGATTAAAATCTGGTGACCAACTTAAACACCAGCTGAGCTGAGTCAGCGTGGGGCTGAGTGTAGATGGCCCACCTGAGGACAGTTGCCAGCAAAAAAAGGAGACCTGGAGAGGAAGAGTAGCATTGTGGGTCCTCCTAAGTGTTGCTGCTGATTGGAGCTGTTGGTTCTTCTGAAGGAGCTTGTCATGCTGGCCTCCCTGCTATGATCTCAGCTGTTATCATTGCTCAGGACCTTGTTACTGAGAGTGGCTGTGGTTCACTTTGGGGGAGCTCTGGTCCTTTGAGCATTGCTTCCTGGCTCCAGAGTGAAGGAACTGTGTTGTTCAGTCTCTAGGAGAAGCTTTTCACGCTGGCTTCCTGATATGAACTTGGGTGTTCTCAGCGTTGGAGGAGCTCAGGACCTCATTGTCACTGAGGATGGCCGTGGTACTTCTTGGGGTAGCCTTGGTTCCCATTTTGAGCATTGCTTCTTGGCTCCAGTGCAGAACCCTCACCCTACTGGCATAGAGCCTTTACCCTGTTGGCACAGACTTTCTAGCTTCCACTGACGGACCGTCCCAGTGCAGATGTGTGAAACAGACTTGCATGAGTCATTGTTGTGGGCTGTAGACCTTCAGTTAGACTCCTTGGGGGCATTGTCATGAGCTCTAGTCTTCAGCTGGACTCATGCATGACACTACTGTGGGATCCAGGCCCTCAGCTGGATTCTCTAGGTCTTTAGTAGTGTGTGGACAGATTTCCTGCACTTTCTATATTTGACTCCTTAGGTGATCATTATAACTAATACTATAAATCATGTGTCCTGTATGTAATTGTCTTGTTCTCCTTGCAACTTGTGAGGTCAATGTTGGATGAGTTGGCTTTGAGGCGCCTGTGACACACACAGGTGGCACTGTCTAGGCTGTCATGGAATCACACATCTGAGGTCTGAAGTTGATGCGTGAAATCTCATGAGAAATGTGATATGTGGATGATGTCGGGGTCTAGATTTAAACTATTGGGTTGGAATATTAACCCTAAACTGAATAAAAAAGATCAAGATGACCCTTTGAGCATCTGGGGCCTGACGAAGGCTTCCCCACCACAGAGGGCGGGGGGGGACCCCTAGAAATGGTACCCACAGAGAAGAACTCTGAGAAAAATTACAAACTACAGCTGGAACCACCACGAAGAGGTGTCAGTAGTTGAAACGCAAGTCAATGTGTTAAGCAATATGATACGGATGAGCAGGGCTAGGGTGCAGGGAATTCCATTTGGTGGTAATTTAATGCCAGGGCATCAGCTTTGTCAATGGTGCTAATGGATTTCCACACCGGAAAGAGGGATGACGGAGGTGGTGGGGTGACAAGCCCTCACCACAAAAGCAAATCCTCAGGGAAGTGGTTGCATCACTGCTGAGCTGATGTAGCATTTGGATCTTCTAGCACTTGTGGACTTTGGCAGCTGTGAAGCCATGGCATGGCTGGAAAAAGCCCTCACCTTCACTGACTGCATGTGTGTAGGAGACACCGATGGAAAGGAGCCCATAGAGTCCGTACAGGAGGACAGATGTGTATACTGGAGACCTGACAATGTAGCAGAAGGCAAAGGCTGGGTGCACAAGACCTCTGCCTACGCAGTTGAGTAGCTATTCTGGGAAGGCGTTACCCTGTGAATGCATGGAAACACAATGCTGGTATTTTAATGTAGACTCTAATGGTCCCAATTTCTTCAGTCACCCCAAAAACAAAATGATCGGGTGTGGTGGTGCACTTCTGTAATCCCAGCACTTGGGAGGCTGAGGCAGGAGAATTGTTACAAGTTCAGAGGAGGAATGGATCCACTGCTTCTCAGCCTCTCGGGGTTGTCCACAACCCTTGGTGTTCCTGGACTTGAAACCAGCACCTCAATCTCCATCCCCACCTTCACATGCTGTCTCCTGTGTATCTAGATCACTTCTGCCTTGTAAGGACACTGTCAATGGATTTAGGGTCAGCCTCAGTGCAGTATGACCTCATCTGGATTAATTTGCAAAGACTACACAGACTTTCCCCCCCAAATTCCTACTTATAGGTACCCGGGGCTAGGACGTGAACCTATCTATTCGGTGGCACAATTTAACCCATAACAGGAAGAAACAGATTTATCTGATGACTCCTCATAGGCTTTAAGGGTGGTGACTCTGCAAGAAGGAAGAACAGGGCATGCTGCTTTTCTGAAATTCAAATAATCAAGAAAATCCTGACAGGTAAATTTTTGATGGAGTCTCCTAGGCAACTAGTATCCCAAGGGCATATTTGGGAAACAGTGTGTTTGGGTGACTGAGTAAGTGAGCCTCTTCCTTATGAAGCCTCTCTGTTCAGCAGTAGCCACTTGCTACAGCCTGATTTCCTGATGGTGGCTGCTCCTTTTTGTTGTCTGTGGAGATCGCTGCTGGTCTCTGGGATGGAGATACTCTTCATGGGCCTCCATCGTGTGTGGAGATGATGAATAAGGGAGCCTGGTTAATCCAGGCCACCCTGGAAGACAGCATATTCACATCTGGTGTTTGTGGTTATGGGGTTCTGGTTTCAGATGTCCCAAACTTCAATGCTTTTCCATTTTTTGAATCCTGAAAGGAGACATGAAGCCTGTACTTTCAAAGGTGTCTTGGGGACAGTTGACAGGGCGACTGTTTGGTTGGACTGATTGTACTCTGCATGTCCCTACGAGGCCCAATTTCACACTGTAGACATGGTAGGTTCTCTCCTCTTCCTCCTCTTCCTCTTCTTCTTCTTTTAGGTCTAAATTTCTTGTAAGCAGTGTGTCCTGTTCTCAAAACATCAGTCCTCTGTGAAAAATTTCCAGCTGGTGACATTAAAGGATATTTGGGAAGAGGTACCTTTTTCTAGGTGGCACAAAGGTGACATGGTTATAGTGGTGGCCCTATAGTGGTCAGATCTGAAAGGGCTTTGATGGAGGACAGGTCAATTCTGCATTTGTTAAGATTTGGCTTGCACATAATAGAAACTCAAGTCCAACTGGTTAAAGTCAAAAGGGGAACCTATCATCAGAATGCAAGGATGAAGGTGTAGCTGGGACTCAGGAACATAACAGATTCTGCAAGACTGATGTGGCCAGAACTTCCCTTTGCCTCTCTTTACTTTCTTTTCTTCTCCTTTTAGACGATCTGTGATCTGCTTTCTCCTTGTCTTACTTTCCATACTCCAATATACTCCTGGGTGTCACAGGTTCAGGGCTCATCAGCTAGCAGAAAAACTGACATCTTGTATACCCCAGAGTGTATTCTTGGGGATAGGTTAAAAAAAACTTAAGATGTGTTAATCTATATGCACCAACTCCTCATAAGTGAATGTAATCAGTATGTACTGCAAACGTACTAATAAAAATTTTAAAAATCCTGGAGAGCTGTAATCAGTTTTGATCAGATCAATCACGTGGCCTGTGTGTGTGTGTGCACACACACACGTGTGTCCATAAATGTGAGAGCAGAGTGGATATTGCGGGTGGGGTGGGCAGGAAGTACTCTCGGGGAAGCAAGCACAGAGAACAGACAGAAAAGGCTTGTCACCAGTCACACATCAGTGTACAGAAGAGACCGGAATGAAATCCAAACATAGGTGAACAAACCTCTGTGCGCGTCACAATCCTACACTGCTGCCTGTCAACAGAAAGCAGTGATTTTATCGGTAGCACTTTTCATTTGAAGGTAAAAACAATTAACCAAAATCTAATATGAAAACATTTTTAGCTCTTCCAGAAGAGGCAAAGGGAGAAATGGAAAAATACAGAGAAAGCCATTGTAGAAATATTCAGGATGTTTCCTGAGCCACCAAATAAACACTTTCATAGCTTCCAGGGCTGGTGCTAAAGATACTTTAGCCAAAGATGTGCCAAAGATATTTTAGCATTGGCCTCACTGAAGAGCAGATAGGCACGCTGGGGTGAAGGTCTCACATGGCCTTTATGGCTATATCCTGTGGTGTTGGTACTATCTTTATAGGTGGGACAACTAAGCCTTAAGTAAGATAGTGCCTTTTCCAAAGTAGTCTGTCTGTGAATAAAAACTTAAAAAAATATTTTTTTTGAGATTGGATCTCGCTTTGTAGTTTGGGCTGACCTCAAACTCGTAGCAATCCTCCTGCTTCAGCCTCCTAAGAGCTGGGATTACAGGTATGCACGCTACGATCGGTTGTGAACAAATTTCTATCAGTGAAATGATTGATAAAGAGCTGCATGAATAACTTAACAAGTTGTTTTCAGACCTCCAGAGTAGGTGAGACGCCACTTGCTCCATTATGCTAAATGACATCACCAATCACCACTGCCTGCCTAGCCAACGTCCACTTTTAGAATCTCAGAAGAACTATGGTTTCCCTCAACCTATGTGGGCATGCATGTGGCGCAGGGCCTGAACACTTCATGGTTTTGTCGGCAATACTGGCTCCCTTCCCCTTTGTTTTGAGACAGGGTCTCACTGTGTAGTTCAGGCTGGCTTCGAACTTACGGCGACTCTCCTAACCCTACCTCACAAGCGCTAGCGTTATAAATTTGCGCCACACCGTAGGACATTTATCTGGCTTTTATTACTCGTCTGCCACCGAGATCTCGCGAGACTTGTCGGTCTCCGCCCCCTCCGCCCCTGCGCGCCTGCGCAGATCATTCAAAGCAGAAGGTTGCATTTGGAGGAAGTGTTGCGTGGGTCCCGTGACTGAGCTGCCGTTACTACTTTTCGGAACCTCTTCTCGGCCGGTGGTCGGGACCCTCTGCCGCCAAGATGCCTCGAATTATGATCAAAGGGGGCGTGTGGCGGAATACCGAGGTGAGTGGCCCTTTCCCGCAGGCCGCTGCCCTCCGCCCCCTCGGTGTTTTGTGCGCACGCGCGCTGAGGTCGGGAGGAAACGAGGGCGCCCTCGGGGTCTGCTTGGGGACACTTTGGAGCTGACCCCGGCCGGGGGCTGGGTACTTTCGGGTGGGGATTGGGATGCAGCTACCTGACCTGTCTACTCCGCGCTCACCAAGCCTTGGTGAACATTTATTGAATTATGGATGGTGCGCTCCCAACCTCCCTCAGAGGCGCTCCCAGTTGGTGGGGAGATGGACCTCAGTGGGAGTTGATTTTTCTGGGGCCTTACTTTTTCTCAGCTGGTGCCTTGCGCCCCTCCCGGCTTACCCTTCGCCCCCACCACCAAAAAAAAAAAAAAAAAAGTTAAGGTGGAAAAGACGTTTTAATGGACTGCGTTGCAGAAGGGAAGCGCCTTGTCAGCCTTGAAGAGCCTGTTGATACTCGGGTCCCTGTTCACTGTTCGCAATGCAGAACCTGTCTCCCCCTCTGTGCTCCCATCAGAGCCCAGAGTCTTGTCTCTTCTGTCACTTCGCCGTTGCTTGGGCAGAGACCGAATAGGATGAAATGCCTACAGTAGTGTTTGCTTCTAAAAGATGTCAAGGGCTAGCCGAAAATAGTAAATGAAAATTAGATTTTAGCGTTTAGAAGCTCAGTCTTTTTACATCTTACCCCTTCTTGGATTGTCTTTTTACTGCTCGGCCTTCTCCTGAGCATCCCTTAAACAGGGTTAAGAAACATATTTTGGAATCTTTGCCCGTTCATCTTGTAAAAGTTTTTAACTTCTCAAAGCTTTGGGTCCTTCATTTTTCGAAAAGAGATCATACCTACCTCTTCTGAGTGATTAAAAGAGTTAGTACATTTGAAACAGAGTTCGGCATACTGTAGGCTTTCAGTGAGTGCTAATTGCTTTATCCTCCATCAGGCAGCACTGCAAGGCACCAAGGCTTGTACTCCTAGAGTCTAGGATAGTAACGGATGTGAAGTAGGCTGCCTGGTAGCTGTTTGGGAAAGAGTTCAGTAGGATGGATACCTGCTGAGTGTACTTGGCTGCAGGTGTGTCCAAGTAGAGCCGTACTATACGTCATCAGTAACACATGAAGGCTTTGAAAACTGCCTTATCTTGCAGTGAGAGTGCCAGAGTGTTGCAGCTGGAGAACAGATGACTTCTGAAGGAAAGACAAATATACAGAATCAAGTAACAGGAGGATTCCTGTGCCCTTGTCAAAGCCCTGCAGTTATTTATGTATATCTCTGGTGATGGGAGTGAGTAGAGTGGTGAGGCTCAGCTAGACAAGTAGCACAAGTACACAGTAAAAAGAAACCTAAAAGTAATGTCTGAAGTCATCTATCTGTGGGTTCATCCTCCCTGATGTGTGTGGCTCAGTTTGCCAGTTTTTCTTGGGAATGGTGCATTTCACCTTATTTGGGTGCCCTGTCAAAACAGTATTTAGATACCGGGGAAGATTGGGAGAACTGATTGGTGGGGTGGGGAAGAGAGATTTAATTTTTAGATTAGACCTAGAATGTGAATTCTTGGGTGATGGTATGGGTTAAGGGGCTGTAAATGCCTTGCACAACCTGAGTCCCAGGTTGCTTCTTTAGGCCTGGATGTGTTCCTGTTTGATTCTCTTTTCTCAAGCACACAAGTCCTGGTTCAGGTGGGTGTTCAGGAGGTGTGTTTTGAATGACTGCGTAGGTGAATGAGCTGTACCTTTTTGAAGAAAATCCTAGGTACATTTTAAGGATTACTTTTTGTTAATCTCTGTTATGAAGTTGTGTTTCTCAGTTGGGCTGTTCCCACTTCCAATTTATTGAAAGCTGTATGTGTACAGGAGAACAAGATGCTCCCCTAAAGGATTTCTTACTAATTTTTTTGCATTTTGCTGATTTTTGCTTGCTGTTTATCATGATAGTCAATGAAGTTTTCATACTTTTTTAAAAACGTGTGTATGTGTATATATCTATTTTTCTGGTACTGGGGGTTGAACTCATGACCTCAAGTGTGTATGTAGTTTTACATCATCCCCATCAGAGTTAAATTGTATTTTTTATCATGTGGAATTTTGCAGTTGACTGTGTTTTTTCTTTAATAATTCATTTAGGATGAAATTCTGAAAGCAGCGGTAATGAAATATGGAAAAAACCAGTGGTCTAGAATTGCCTCCCTGTTGCATAGGAAATCAGCAAAGCAGTGCAAAGCCAGATGGTATGTACCGTTAATAAGTGGGAAATAGAAAGCAGCCTTGATTGTAAGGAGGGAAATGTCAGGTCTTTGAAGTGTCTTGAAGAAAGTAGGCATCGCGATGTGATAAGTAGGGAGTGGGAAAATGGACTTAGCTGTCACCTGCTTCCTTTGTAATCTCTGGCAAGCCAGTTTTTAATCTATCTTGCCACTGTTTCCCCAATTAGAGATAATAGTACTTGATACTAACTGATGGAGGCAGGAGACTCCATCTAAATGAGTTGGTGTGTGCTTTGTGGAGCATAACATCTTTCAGGGACAGATGGGCCCCAGTTTGGAAATGATTGTATTCTAAAAGTTTATAAATTTGTTTAGAACTTTGAAGAAATGGTAAATAATGGTTTAATTTTTAGACAAGCTTACAATATTGAATTTCCTCATAATAGAATTGACATAATGTATATTTGCTATCATAAAGTACAGCATAAGGCTTGGAGTCAAACTTTTAAATCACAGAGTAGTGGACACATGAAACTGCTTGTGTGTCCTCTTGGCATGAGTGGTCTGGCGTTAGCTGAAACCCATCTGCTGCTAGGGACATACTTTGGATTGTACAAAAGTGGCCCAATTTTGTAGGCATGGTGGTAGTGGAAAGGATGCGTGTAGAGATGAGACTCTATAAAGAGGAAGCTGAAGAAGTGGTTCTCATTTGTGTTTCCCTGAGTGATGCTAAGCTGTGTGATTGTTATGAGGATTTACCTGTGTCCTGTTTGCCAGCCTCTCATCCAGCTGAGTGCTGGATGGAAAAGGTGAGTTGGGTGGACATTAGGAAGGACAGAGGATGCCACAGTAGGCTGGGGATTTAGCTCAGCAGCATAAGCACCTGCCTTGCAAGCCGGCAGTTGTGAGTTCAATCCCCGGTACTGATAAAAAGGAAAAAGACACACACACAAAAAAAAAAAAGCAAAAAGAACCACTTTACTAGTTAAAGGCTGAGAACTGTGCTTGTCAGGCAGTAGAGATCTGAGCAGTGTGTAAGCTGGATATCTGTACTGGGTGACTGATGCGTGCACTAAATTGTATTTTTTAATAGGTATGAGTGGCTGGATCCAAGCATTAAGAAGACAGAATGGTCCAGAGAAGAGGAGGAAAAACTCTTGCACTTGGCTAAATTAATGCCAACTCAGTGGAGGACCATTGCTCCCATCATTGGGAGAACAGCAGCCCAGTGCTTGGAGCACTACGAATTTCTCCTGTAAGTTAGTCTTCTGAAGCAGCTGAAGAGCGGAGTGTGTGTTACTGATGCTGAATGTTTAACATTTCCTGTCTTGAAACATTTAATAACAGATGTAACTAAAACCAGAGGAGCTAACACTATTGGATTTATATTCCATATATCTATGGTTGATTAAAATTGTGTCTTCTGTTATATGTAACTGTTTTTTTTTTTTTTTTTTGCATTTTTGGGTGTTGAATCCAGGACCTTAGCACTAGGTTACATCGAGTCCTTTTTCAGTTTTTATTTGAAACAGGGTGTTGCTAAGTTATTAAATTGTCCAGCATGGGCTCAAACTTGGAATCCATTCTTATATTATTTATTTTTTAAAAATTAATTTAAAAAAGTCTACAAGGCATACGTGGTCATGGTAGAAAATCTGGGGGAAGGAAACCTACATTGTTAATGGGATTGTAAATTACATTACCCTACAGAAATCAGTATAGAGGGTCCTCGAGAAACTAAAAGTAGAAATTCCATTCCATCTAGCTATTCTCTTTCTAGCTTTCTTCCCCAAAGAGTTAGACATCATACAGTGATGCATGCCCCTGTTTATAGCAGCACAATTCAAAATAGCTAAACCTTAAAAGAAGCCTGTATGTCCAGCAGCAAATGAATGGGTAAAGTTTATGCACAATGGAATTGTTCTCTGCCCTAAAGGATAAATTTGAGTTGTTTGTAGTAACATGGATACACTTTGAGACCATAATGTTAAGTGGAAAAAGTCAGGCACACAATCTTAAATATTACATGGCTTCTCTTACATGAGGAAGCCAAAGTTTAAATAAATTAAAAAGTAAAATAAAAGATAGATGATAGGAAACCAGAGAGAAAGGTGTATGTGGGGGGAGATAGGGAAATGGGAAGGTGACCAAGAGATGAGGGAATGGAGGAGGAGGAAAATAAAAGGTTACAATGTCATGTAGCTGTATCAATTCCCCAACAATGAGTATAATCAGTATATACCATAAATGTACTAATGAGTATAAAACTTAAAAAAAAATTTGGGGAAAAGGTAGTATAAGAAATACACATCACCTATAACCACACTGCTGAGAATTAAGTGTTAGAACATTTTGATTCACTGCTAGTAGTGTTTTTATTTGTGCAGTTGTATGGCATTTGTGATTAAGGAGCTCCTTAGATCACATTTTGTACTGAATAGAAACACTTGCTGAAATGATAATTTTTTTTTTTTTTTTTTGGTCTTTTTCCTTTTTATTGGTACCGGGAATCGAACTCACGATTGCCTGCTTTCAAGGCAGGCGCTTATGCCGCTGAGCTAAATCCCCAGCCCCTTGAAATGATAATTTTAATACTGTGTCTTCCAGATGTTGCCATAGTAAAAGTGTTTTATTTATTTATTTATTTATTCTATCGGTACCGGGGATCGAACTCAGGACCGCCTGCTTACAAGGCAGGTACTTATGCCGCTGAGCTAAATCCCCAGCGCCCGTTTTATTTTGTTAATACCCATCTTGGATTTTTTGGGGAAAAAAGTAGTAACAGCTAATAAAATTGGTAATTCTGGTAATAAATGATATGATGCTATGATGAAATCATCTGGGTTTTTCCTTAGGGACAGAACTGCCCAAAGAGACAATGAAGAGGAAACGACAGACGATCCACGAAAACTTAAACCTGGAGAAATAGATCCAAATCCAGAGACAAAGCCAGCACGGCCTGATCCAATTGATATGGATGAGGGTGAGTAGATGCCAGGGCTTGGAAGGAGTCTGTTTCTTTGTAACTGGACTGCTCAGGTCCCTTTCACGCTTTGTAAAGACTCTTCTGAAGTGTTAGTTTTTAGAATCTCAAATCTATTCCCATTTGTTCCAAATGTGTGCTGTTTCTATTAGAGAGTAGTTATCCTTTTCGGGTAGTGCTTTTTTTTGTGTGTGTTTTTTTAGTTTGCATAATAAATTAAGTAGTAGAATAGTATTGGGTAGGTTTCTCATTCCCCATCCATAAAGACAGGCAGGAAGTCAGGATATTGGACTTTCAGCCTTCTTTGACCAAAGGTAGTCGTGTACTATGTGAGGAGGTAACACTGCAGATTTGTAATGGAGGCTTATAATTCCCTGAGGCATCGAAATAAGAACCAGAGGAAGTGAATTTTATTTTATTTATTTATTTTAGTTTTTTTTTTTTTTTTTTTTTTGTCTTTTTCATTTTTATTGGTACCAGGGATCACTCATGACTGCCTGCTTGCAAGGCAGGCGCTTATGCCGCTGAGCTAAATCCCCAGCCTCAGTTTCTCCGACTTTAAAACCAGACGTGTTTCCATTATGCCTCAATGTTTAATGAGTGTGTTTCTTTCATTTTAAACTCTGCGGTGTCCCTCTTACATTCCTTGCTTATGTGTTAGAGAGGAACTTAGTTTTTCTTTTTTTGCAGATGAACTTGAGATGCTTTCTGAAGCTAGAGCCCGCCTGGCTAATACGCAGGGGAAGAAGGCCAAGAGGAAAGCAAGAGAGAAACAGTTGGAAGAAGCAAGGTATGGTTTTTCCTGTGTTCAGCAGTTAATAGGTACATGCTTTAGCCCACTAAAATTGTGTGATTTATCGGTGCTGTTTGTGAATAGAAATCTCAGTTGTCCAGGTCCACTTTGTTGATACTCCTTGGCTTTTTACTCCAAAAAAATCTTTTTTTTTTTTTTTTTTTTGGTATTGGGGATCAAACTCATGACCTAGTGCCCACCTGGTAAGCGCATTTGCCACTGAGCTAAGTCTCCAGCCCTTCTTGTATTTTTTTTTTACTCTTAACCATTTAAGACATGGCAGAAGTAATATATACTACTTACCTGTATGGCAGATTTGTTCTTTTAGTGTAGCAGAGCATCATCTGTTGAGGCATCTTGGGGTGCCTTGTACCTGGAGGATACAAGGCTGTGTGGCTTCGTGTGACAGCCAGTGGGCTCCTCTTTGTGGTTCGTGTTGGGCAGGCACTGGCTGTGAAACAGGCCTCTGCTGAACAGAGAGGGCATTAATGAGCTTTCGAATAAGCTTTAGGCTCTCATGGAACTCTTCATTTAAGAAGCGAGCAAATGCATATTAGCCATTGTCTTTTACGGAGGATTTTCTCTGCTTTTTCTTACTTGCTTTTCGTGATACATGGTTGAGGTATCACTTCTGATGGTCCAGAGATCAAGATGAAGTTAACAAGACCATCTGAATTATCAGCTCATTAGCTTTTGGGGTGTAGTCAGTGAAAAACCCCCAGCCTGCCTGGTTCCTTTCATAAAGTGCTTCTTGACCTGAGGTGTAGCGTTGTGTTGGTGTTTTCCCCAGTGGTACCACTGAAATGTCAGGTCCTGGGAGGGAGGTTCTCTCGGGTCTGAGGGTGCTTATTGGTGTGATTGGCCAATCCCCAGTTGGAGTGGTTAATTTCTGATGGGAAGATGACCAGCCTGCCAAACCAAACAGATGCCAGGAGAAGGTGCTGGGTTTTCTACCCTATTTCAGCCACCTTTCAATTCTGGACCCTAGGGCTAAGTAATTCTTCCTTTTTTATCCAGGCTTATTTGAATGTTCAACTTTTAGAGCTCTTTAGCCATGTAGATGGCCCCAGGGCTATAGCAGATGCATTTGTGAAAAATCTCCCTGATGTCTTTTTTTTTTTTCTCCTTGATGTCTTTATACACGTTTTTGCAGATTTTAATTTACCTTCAAATTTCTTATAGATTTTCTTGTGCAGTCTGCATGCACATCTTTGTAAGTTGTTTTCTATACATACATTGTTTTGTGACTTGTTTTCTTGCCCTTCATATTTTGGTAATATTTCTTATTATCGAAATTTTTAGTATCTTAGGGATCTACAAAAAAAAAAAAAAAAAAAAGATTCCACCCTGCAGTGATTTTTATCATTGTTAAAATTTACAGATCGGTACATATGTATGTAATTTTTGTATGTTACTGTAACATGTGAACTTTGAACATTTTTTACAGAGCTTTATGTCTTGGCCCTCTTTCAGAGTAGATGTTCAGCCTTGCTAAAGGTCATACAGATGGCTCTGTAATATCTTACAGCTGTATTACCAATTCATTTAACTTACATAATGTCTTATCAGCAGGTGTTGGGTTTTATATCGACCCAGCATTAGAGCAGTATGTAGTGAGAAGTCTTCAAGTTTAGTCATTTCCTCAGGGTAAAGATTGAGGAGTGAAATTCCGAGCTTAAAAAGCTTGAGCTTTTGATGTGTAATGTATAAGCTTCTCTTTGGGAAAAAGTATTCTGTTGTAGAAGACTGCCCACATTTTGCACCTTTGCCAGTAAAACAAAGTGATATTAATTAGAAGTGCATAGGGGCTGGGGATTTAGCTCAGTGGCATAAGCATCTGCCTTGCAAGCAGGCAGTCGTGAGTTCGATCCCTGGTACCAATAAAAACGAAAAAGACCAAAAAAAAAAAAAAAACAACAGAAGTGCATAAATAGGTCTTGCTAATTTAATTTAGTTATATTTTAAAAATTATTAAGATTGTCATATTTATTTTATCATTTTTGCTTGGTTTATTAAATACTAAAAAAAATTGCTTATTTTTCTTTTTATATTTTTAAAAAGTTATAATTCTAAGTATTGAACCCAAGGTCTCTTGAGCTGTAGCCTTGTTCTTTTTATATTTTTGAGATGGTCTTGATAAGTTTCCCAGATTGGCTTTGAGCTTGTGATCCTCCTCTCTTAGCTTCTCTCTTAGCTGTGATTATAGGCATGTGCCACTGTCTGGCTATAACTTTTGTTTATGAACTATTTATGTTTTTTTGTTCTTTTTTTCCCTTTGGAATGAATTTTTTGTTTTAAAGAATTGGCATACTTGACCTAGATTCTTTAACATATTTGTAATACTGCAAAAAAGTTTTTCCTATTGTTTTAGTCTTTTAATTTCATTTTTTTAATAGGGCTTTAGTTATATAATTTTAAGTCTCAAAGCTATTGATCTTTTCTTTTGCCATTTATTTAATTTATATTTATGAAGTACATTCTCATCCAGAAATAAGATACAAATTTATAGTTCCTTCTAGGTTTTCATTTTGCTTTATTGCGTGTATTTGTGTGCTTTTGAATAAAAACAGGAATTTATTTTGATGAGTGGTGTGAAGAGAGGTTTATATTTCTTTCCCATGTACACGGGTAGTTCTCCTAACCCTGCGGTGATCCCTCCCTGCCCCAGGGAGAGACAGGATAGTGATTTCCAAGGTGGTGAAGCAGTCACTGTCTTCTCTTCAGGCGTCTTGCTGCCCTCCAGAAACGAAGAGAACTTCGAGCAGCTGGCATAGAAATTCAGAAAAAAAGAAAAAGGAAGAGAGGAGTCGATTATAATGCCGAAATCCCCTTTGAAAAGAAGCCTGCCCTTGGTTTTTATGACACTTCTGAGGAAAACTACCAGGCCTTGGATGCAGATTTCAGGAAATTAAGACAGCAGGACCTTGATGGAGAGCTGAGATCGTAAGTTGGCCTTTCTGACTTTGGAAGTGGACAGGTTCCGGAGAAATCCTATGAGAGGCCAAGTGTTTCCCTTGTCAGAGCCAGATTTTTATTATTCAGCTTGAACATAGCTTGTTTATTTTTTTTTATTTAATGGGGTCACCTTCCTGAGCATACATGACCCCAGTCCTGTGTCTGGCTCTAGAATAGTCTTGTGGGCCCTTTGTTCCTTGAACCACATTGTCATATATGTGAACGTCTCTAACAAGTTGGTGATTCTGAGAAAGTGTGTTGACATCTAGTCTGATTCTTCGTGGATTATTTTTTTTTTTGGGGGGTCTTTTTGAGACAGGGTTTCACTATGCAGTTCAGGCTGGCCTTGATCTTACTTTGTAGCTCAAGCTGGCCTTGAACTTGCAGTGATCCTCCTGTCTCGGCGTCTTGAGTATCGGGATTGCAGGTGCGTGTCTCCACACCTAGCTTTGTGGCTTTTTAGTGAAAAATTTTACCTTATTTAAATGAAATTAAAAGAAAAAAAAAATACACTATGGCATTCTTAAATCTTTTTAGTTGATGTGGACAAGTGGATGTATTTACTTTACTTTTGAGAGTCCAGAAGATTTTGCCATTATTAGAGATTCTTAGTTTCTTTAAATACTGTATTTGTATATTGTATGGAGACCATGTTATGGTTGCCAAGAAATTATTTTAGTTTGCTTCTGTTTTGACTTTCCATTTATGCCGACACCAGATAGGTTTCAGGCACAGTGTAAAACAGAATTTTCTTGAATGTACACCATTGTATTTATTTCTCAAATTATGTCTTGCTTTTAGGTAAGCTCTAGTATATAGAGATTAAAGAGGCAAATCATGTGGTATAAAAATATACTGTGAAATGCTTACATTTTAAAAAGTTTATATATATATACACTGTTTTTGCTTTGAACACACCCCCTTGTTTTCATCACTTTTTGAAGCAATTCTGGAGGTCCTCTTTTGTGAGTGTCTTTATGAGATACAATCAAAAAGAAGTTAAAAAAAAAAGTGAATGCTGCTGTCAGGTGCCATTCAAGGGGAAGAGGCTTTTAAAAACATGATGCTGTGTCCTTGCCCACCTTATTCACTGGGTCGGGCACTGTGCAGCTTCTGGCTCTTCCCCAAAGTCAGCGGCTGTGAAAGATTTTTAATCAGTTCATGGCCTGGATGCAGCCACGACAGAGCCACTAAAGGCTCTCAGGAAAGAGGACTTAGAACTGCTGCAGAAGTGGGATAGCGAGCAGGAACACTCGGGAAAGTGAGTGGAAGGGAGTGGCAGGATTGAGGGCAGTGTGTCCCTTCTGTCACACAGTTTTTGAATTTAAACATTCACTGTGTTTTTCATTCCCACCTTACAGTTGAAATGTGGGGGAAAGGGAGACAGGCGGAAGGGAATAAGGTTTTTGTGGGAGCTTTGAAAGATTGCTTTTAGGTTTCCTTAACAAACTTGGGGTATTATTTGTCACTACTAAATACCTTTGAAAACTTTTGTCTATTTTAAAAGTCCTAACCATTTAATAACAGTCTTAAGAAGAAATTTCAAAGGTCACAGTGTGTTTGTCTCCTTTATGTATGCGTTTCTTTTCGGCATATTCATCTTCAGCCTTTTCCTGTGTGCATACGCATTTCTTGTTTCTGTGTGAATATATAATCCCACTGCAGGTGGGAACTGTTTTAGGTTTTTCTTTTGACATTACATGTCACGTTTTATCACAGCCTTGCAGTTTTATGATTTAATTTATACCTACATGGTGTACCGTGTTTTCTTAATAATGCTATTGCCATTCTAAGCTTGCATTCTTAAATATAAATATAGTTAACTAATGGTATAGCAAACTGCTCAATATATGTTGCTTCTTAAAATTATTTTCTTAGAAATGGGATTGTTCGTTCAGGTGTGTTTTTTATGACTGTTAATGTTGTTGTCTGTGTGCAACATTAAAAATCTTCTCTTCCTTGTCCATGACAGCGAAAAAGAAGGAAGAGATAGAAAAAAAGACAAACAGCATTTGAAACGGAAAAAGGAATCTGATTTACCATCAGCTATTCTCCAAACCAGTGGTGTTTCTGAATTTACTAAAAAGAGAAGCAAACTAGTGCTTCCTGCTCCTCAGGTAATCTGATAAAAGCAGTTACTTTCATTGTTTGAATTTATATGCTTATCTCATTTATTCAGCAAGTGTGGGAAGGCCCATGCAGCAGGGTTGTGCTTAAGAAATTCACACAAGAAAATAACTTAGAAGCAACCACTTCAGTGTGTGAGTGCTTCCATCAGGTCTTAGCTCCCGCGATAGTGTGGTTAGTGTCAGCACTCAGCAGTTTGTCAGCAGTTCTGCTCCCCTCTTTTTGTAGCAGATAGAGATGGGTGTGGTTGGCTCCACAAACTTTTGTGGCTTTCTCTCAGGGAACACTTTGTTGTGTCATGTATGAAATACAGCCCTTTTAGCTTGAGTTCACATCATATATGAACTTTCCCCACATTATGTAGGAGAGGCTTTTTGAGATTTTGTGGACATTTTCAGAGCCTTGGAAAGTAAGGAGAGTAGCACAGTGAGCTTTGTGCCTCCATCACACAGCTTCAGTGACTCGTTGTTCTGGAATATGAAAATTGGAAACAGTGTTAGTTCTCAGTGGAAGTAGTTCTTACTGTGCGCATTGTGTCCTTTAGATTTCAGATGCGGAGCTCCAGGAAGTGGTGAAAGTGGGCCAAGCCAGTGAAATAGCCCGGCAGACTGCCGAGGAGTCGGGCATCACAAACTCCGCTTCCAGTACTCTCCTGTCTGAGTACAACGTCACCAACAACAGCATTGCCCTTCGGACACCCCGGACACCGGCTTCCCAGGACAGAATCCTGCAGGTAGGGTGTCACACACAGCAGCAGAGGGAACTTTCACTTTATTATCCTTCACAGTGTCAGGAAGGAAAACAGTAGCTCGGTTATATTTTCTTTACAGCCTGTAGTTCCAAACCAAATCTGAACTATACAGCTCTTAGAGTATTTCTGGAGTAGAAAGTCATATCAGCAGATTGAGTAATTAGTGGTTTCATTTCTAAATGTATTCATAACTTTTTTTTGGGGGGGTACTGGGAATCAGACTCAGGACCTTGAGCTTCCCAGGCAGGCACTGTGCCACCGAGCTATATCCCTGGCCCCTAATTCATAACATTTTGAAGTCAGCTTTTCTATTAGCCGAAGCATTTTGTGCCTGCTGGTAAAGCAGCAGTTTCACATTGCTGAGTGATCTTGGAAAGACATCAGCTGTGTAGTCTGCGATCTCTCAGACTTCCCGCATTTCTGTCCTTGTTATTTATTACTCAGTGAGCTGGCAACCTGTCTCCCTCAGTCCAGGGGGATGTGAGCAGCCCTGTGCTCCTGCACTGTGTGCTGGGGAGTCTGTAACCCTGCAAAATGCCTTGGAAGATTTGGTCCCCTACATCTCATTTCCTGCAGTGAGGAAGAGACATGCTCTCTTGGTTTTGTTCCTTTATCCATGCTTTGGCTGTCTCCTCTTCTCTGGTAGAGTAATGTTTGCCCCCTGCTTCTTTCAGTAGTGTCATTTAAAAAAATGAAGTATGATTATTGATACTTGAAATTTTTTTTTTTTCTTTTGTACCGGGATCAAACTCATGACCTCGTGCTTGGCACTGAGCTAAGTCCCCAGCCCCAATACTTGAAAATTTTAAGCAAAATCATGAAGCTGTTTTTCTTTTGGTAACAAATTACTTCATTAGGGAATAAAATGAGCATTAAATAGAAATTGCTTAAGCTCCTCACCCCATACTGGAGATTGAATCCAGGGCCTCACATGTGCTAGCAAGCATTCTACCACTGAACTGCTGCACCTCTACTCCTTTTAAAAAGTTTTATCTTGAGACATATTCTATCAGAAATGGTAGGTGGAGAGCAAGGATGAATGTATAAAAATCCGCCATGGCCCAGTATTCATTTTCTCTCTTGGTTTTCATGAGAAAATGTGAAAAATGTTCCCTGCTTCAGAATTTGTATAATGGAAGTGGGAGAGAAGATTATGATAATCTGTCTGAAATTGCTAAACAGTTTTTCTCTTCTTGCCAATCAGGAAGCCCAGAACCTCATGGCCTTGACCAATGTGGACACCCCATTAAAAGGAGGACTCAACACCCCATTGCATGAGAGCGATTTCTCAGGTGTGACTCCACAGCGGCAAGTTGTTCAGACCCCAAACACAGTTCTCTCTACCCCATTCAGGTATTGTAAAAATGGATGTGCTTTATATTTTACTAAAACTTGAAACCAAGAACTTGGACAGCATGTTTGAACATTCAGAAAAGATGAAAGAATGGTAAAGTGAACTTTCATCCACCCATGATAGTTAACAGTGGCTTGTGTTTGTGTTATAACATATCCATCCAGTAAGATGTTTTATTTTTTAAGGCACTTAAAAGACAGTATGGATACCAGTTTTCATCCCCACACATGCCACATGCATATCGTTAACTAGAGCTTAGTATTTATTTGTATTTCTTTTGTTTTAAGCTGCTGTTTTTTTTAAAAGAAGAATCTTTAAGATACAAATGTTATAGAAGCAACTTGTATTAAAAGTGAATTTAGCTTTTAAAGACTGAAATATTGCACACTGTACTTAGTGACATTAGAGCAGACACAGACAAAAATATAATAGACGAGCTTAAGAAAATTATGGAAGTGCAGCGTAGGAAAGAAATGGAATTCATAAAGCAGATTCAAGCAGAGATCCAGGAGAATAAAAATGCCATTGAAAATATTTGAAGCAGTTTAGGCCAATGTGAGGACAGGATCTCAGATATTGAAGACAAGCTTGCAGTTAGCAATCAGGAAAAGAAGGATTTCTCAAAAATAGCAAGAGAACATGAGAAATCAATCCAGCAGCCGCTAGATGAGACAAAGAATAACAACAAGATTGATTACAGTCAATGAAAAAAAGCAGGAAATACCACAAATGACATTCAAATGTTCACAGACATAATGACAAAAAGCTTTCCTGGTAGAGAAAAAGAATTTGACATACAGATAAATGAGGCATATACAACTCCAATTAGCATGATCAAAAAAAGAATCTGCAACCAGGCATGTCATAATCAACATTCAAGAAATTAACACAAGAATAGAATTCTAAAAGCTGTTAGAGAAAAGAAACAAATCGCCTATAAACGAAAGCCCATCAGATGCACAACTGACTTCTCACTCAGCGGAAACTCTCAAGTCAAGGAGAGCTAGGAGCAAAGCATTTCCAAGTTCTAAAGGAAAACAGCTTTCAACCCAGATAGATATACCCTGAAGACTATCTTTCAGAATTGATGGGGAAATAAGGTACTTCCATGACAAAGAACATCTGAGGAAATTTATGACCACCAAACCAGCACTCCAAAATGTTCTGAAGGACATCCTAGTAAGAGATAATTAAGACTACAGCTCCATGAACTGCAACAAGAAATTCGCCAGGGAAAGCAAACAATTAGAGGGAGGGGAAAAAAGGAGGGTGCAGACAACTGGAAAATAACATGACAAGGATAAGTCAATACATATCAGTTAGAAGCATCATTGTTAATGGTCTCAATTAAAGCAAAAGATTAGCATATTGCAAGAAGCAAGATCCAACTATATGCTGCATAAAGAAACACATTTAATTCAAAAAGAAATTATTAGACTGAAAGTCAGAGGATGGAAGACAATACTCCATGTGACAGGATCCCAGAAAAAAGCAGAAGTAGCTATTCTATTTGCAGACAAAGTGAATTTCAAGCTGAGACTGATTAAGAGAAATAAAGGTCACTACACCCTTGTAAAGGGAACAATCCAAGAGGAAGAGATAACAATTATAAATACATACGCAACAAATACCAATGCACCCAACTATATAAAATTACACGCATTTGAAAAACCAAATAGGCCCTAATACAATTGTATTGGGAGATCTCCACCCCACTGTCACAAAACGATGGATCAACTAGACAAAAAAATGAATAATATTAAAACTAAATCAGACTTTTGAACAAATGGACTTAGAAGATGTCTGTATAGTACTGTGCCCCACAACATCAGAATACACATTCTTAGCTGCACATGGGATGATTTCCAAAATAGACTATACTGTCTCATGGAACATGCTTAAGTCAATGCAAAGAATTGAAATTATCCCATGTGTACTATCAGACCACAGTGCAGTGAAACTGAAAATCCATGCCAAAGGAAACCACAAGAACTTCATAAACACATGGAAATTAAATAATGCCCTACTGAACAACCAGTGGTTCACAGATAAAATTGAAGAAATTAGACAGTTTTTTTGGTTGAATGATAACAATACAACATATTGGAACTTGTGGGACACAATGAAACCAGTCTTTTTTTTTTTTTTTTTTTTGTCTTTTTTCCCTTTTATCGGTACTGGGGATCGAACTCACGACTGCCTGCTTGTAAGGCAAGCACTTATGCCGCTGAGCTAAATCCCCAGCCCCAATGAAACCAGTCTTATGAGAGAAATTTATAGCAACAAATACTCATATCAGGAAAACAGAGCAAGTGCATATAAAGAACTTAATGTTGATCCTCAAACTTCTAAAAAAAGAAGAGCAAGGTAAGCCAAAAGCTCATAAGAGGGAGGGAATTATAAAGATCAGTGCAGAAATTAACACATTAGAGACTTAAAAAAAATACAAAGAGTAAATCAGAGTAATTCAGTAACATAGCTGGTTACAAAGTCAGCACTCAGAAATCAATAGCCTTCCTGTACACGAATAAGAAACTTACTGAGAAAGCAGGATAACACTTTTTACAATAGCATCCAAATAAATTAAATACCTAGGGATAAATCTAAGATTTTTTTGTGTGTGTGTGTGTGTTTTTCCTTTTTATTGGTACCAGGGATTGAACTCGCGACTCCCTGCTTGCAAGGCAGGCGCTTATGCCGCTGAGCTAAATCCCCGGCCCCCTAGGGATAAATCTAACAACGGATATAAAACATTTCTGCATTGAAAACCACAATATTCTGAAAAAGGAGATTTAAGAGGATAGTGGAAAATGGAGAGATATCCTTGGCTCTCCGGTAGGAAGAACCAGTATAGTGAAAATGTCCATACTTCCAAAACTGTTACACAGATTCAGTACAATCCCAATCAAAATTCCAATAGCATATCTCACAGAATTAGAGAAAACAATCCTAAAACTGACTGGAACCAGAAGAGACTTAGAGTAGCAAAGGTAATCCTGGGCAGCAAGATGACAGGGCGCATCACAATCCCTGACCTGAAATTATACTGTAAAACTACTGTGATAAGAAATGTGGTAGTGGCAAACAAAACAAAACAGAGTAGAAGCTGCAGAAACAACTCCAGACACACTGAGCCACCTTATCTTTGACAGAGGAGCCAAACACATTCACTGGAAGAAAGGTAGTCTCTTTAATAAATGGTGCTGGAAAAACTGGCTCAAAAAGACAAAAAAAAAAAAAAAACCCAAATGCTGAAGGGGCTGTGGGGAAGAAGGAACCCTTTTCCACTGTTGGTGGGAATGCAGACTGGTGCAACCACTGTGGAAATCAAGTGTGGTGTGGAGATTCCTCAAAAAACTAGGTCCTATTTGACCCAACTATTCCCCTTCTGGGTATTTTCCCAAGAGAAAAACATCATACCACAGCAATATGTGTGCACCCATGTTTATATAGCAGCGCAATTTGTTAATAGGTAGGTCTTGAAAATAGCCTCAATGCCCATCGACTGAGAAATGGATAAAAGATGTGGTATTTTTATGCAATGGAGTACTACTCAGACATAAAGAAGGATAAACAGGAGACTTTTATAGGTAAAAGGATGCACCTTGAGAACATACTCATAAGTGAAATAACACGTGTTAACATACTATCTCATTAGTGTAAAAAGCTGAAAGAAACATGTCTAAAAAAATTGCATATACATGCACTATAACAGTGCTATCTTAAGGTCCTTGAATGGTTTTCCAGGGCCTTGAACTTGACAATTTACATTGACCCCAATGAATTCTTTTTCACCAGATATTATGTCACTAAAAGCAAGCTATCCTGGATAATAATGAAGCCCATAATTGAATCTTCTTGGAAGACTATAAAAGGAAATTTACTAATTGATGGCCTTTTAAGATGGCAAAGCTCAGAAGATCTAGAAAGGTCCAAGGACTGCAGGGAGAAACACTTGTCCCATGTCATTGCTGCCCACTGTCATCGCTGTAGCCTCGTGGAAGCATGGACCAAGCTTGTTCAGGAAGTTAGGAAGAAGCATGCATGGGCGGACAATGCTTACTCAGACACAAGTTAATGCATAGGACAGCACTGCCCAGGCCTTCAGGTAGACTCAGCAAGGAGCTCTCAGATGGACTTTTGTTACATAATGTCTAATAAACGGAAACTTAATTGCTGATGAAACTTAATTGCTAAAAAAAAAAAAAAAACAAAAAACAAAAACACAGACCGTGTATTGGAATTTATCTTTAAGTGCTCCTGCAGGTCTAGTGTAGCAGGGCTTTATATACCAGAATCAAGCAGCACTGGTAGCCACCTCTTGCATAACTTTTGGTAGCCAGTGTTGAATCCCTGTCATGCTTAGCAGGTGTTCCCCAATCTACGTGCGTTGCCCTTGTAACCTTTAGGACAAAGCTGAGGGTAGAGATCGTGTCTCACATGATAGCACCCTACTTGTTGGGAACAGCTATCTAGTAGCACCACTAGTGTGGAACGCAGCCACTGTGTAGGAAGTAAGCAACCACCACCACTACGGCTGGCTGCTGAAAATACAAGTTGTTGGAAATTCTGGACTTTATTGTTGGAGGGTCTCCTGGCCCTCTGCCTGTTCATACTCGATGCGATTGTGTACTTTGATGATAGTGGCAGGAATGACTGGACACGACAGGGAGAAGAAAGTCAGGAAGAGCACACTGAACTCGTCTGGTGTGACTACATTTCTGGCTTTCCTGCCACTGGCTATTCTTCCACACCCTCCTGTATCAGGAGACATAAGAGAGGACTGAAATGTGATTGGTGGACCTCTTTTAGTAAAGCCAGATGATGTTAAATGTAATGACTATTAGAAGTCAATAAAATAGTATGTGTCAGTACTACATTAGCTAAACCAGACCTTTATTTTTTACTTAATTTAAAGAAAAATTTTTTGAGACAGGATTTTGTTATGTATTCCAGGTGTGTGCCACCATGCCTGGCTCTGAAACCTTTGCTTTTTAAACAATTATTATTTTAGCTGGGCGTGGTGGCTCACACCTATAATCCCAGCACTTGGGAGGCTGAGGCAGGAGGATTGTTGCGAGTTTGAGACCAGCCTGGGCTACAAAGTGAGCTCAAGGCCAGCCTGAACTGCATAGTGAGACCCTGTCTCAAAAAGACAAAAAAAAAAAAAAATTATTATTATTTTGCCATGCTGGGGAATAAACTCAAGCCATTTTTTTTTTCTCCTTTTTTCTTTCTTGGTACCAGGAATTGAACTCAGGGCCTTGTGTTTGTCAGGCAGGTGCTATACCAATGAGCTAATTCCTGGTCCTCAAATCATTGTTTTTAATTAGAGAACTAACTTAAAATTAGAAAATTAGAATTTTTAGAATCTTTGTTTTTTCCTTATGTTCTGCTTTCTCTGTGAAATAATGTATATGAAAGACAATTGAAAGCACAATCCAAGTATAAATGACACTTATTAATTGGGATTTCTGTTATTGTAGGACTCCTTCTAATGGAACAGAAGGGCTGACTCCCCGGAGTGGAACAACCCCCAAGCCAGTGGTTAACTCTACCCCTGGCAGAACTCCACTTAGAGATAAATTAAACATTAATCCTGAGGACGGGATGGCAGACTACAGTGATCCCTCTTATGTGAAGCAGATGGTAAATGTCAATTTCCTTTTAATACTCTTTATTTTTTTTCTTTCTTTTCTTGTTCTGGGGTTACATGCTAAGCAGGCACTCTTACAGCTGAGCTGTGTCTCCAGTCCTTTAGTATCTTATGTGTACCAAATTACAAATTCTCCCCGTCAGTACATATGTGTACATCTTTTGATGCCAGCAAAGGAAAATGGTTTGTAGGGGCTGAGGAGAGGGGAGCCTTTGGGTTATGAGCCATTTTTTCACTCTCAGTATGTTTGTAAATATTAATAATGTTGAAAGTAATGCTGTCTTAATTTATTAAGACTTAAAGGATTTTTTGTTGTTGTTGTGATAAGTTTCATATGTCTCATAAATTAGATTTTTGAGCCTGAGTTGTTCTGGTTGCGTCACATGTTTAGGACAGCCCAAGCCAAGTTGTTTTGTTATTGTTGATTTCAGTGACCTGTTTTTGTATATTTTAAAGTGACATGGAAAACTAATTCTTTGGGGTTTTTTTTTGGTACCGGGGATCGAACTCTCGACCTCACACTGACCAGGCCAGTGCTTGAGCCACTGAGCTAAATCCCCGGCTTGGAAAACTAATTCTTTTTTTTTTGAAAACTAATTCTTAAAAACTGCAGTTTTTGCCTCTGCTTATATTACAGCTTTTATTACTTCACTGTGGTACCTTATCTGATGCCATGGAAAATCCTTGTGAAGTTTTAAGTGAATTCCAATGACCCTGACCTATCTTCAGTTTATAACTTAATTTTAACTTAATGTATGGATTTATTTAATGTATAATTATTTTAATGCCTCAATTAATACCAACTAATGCCAACTCCTGTATGACCAAATAAAGAAATTGGGAACTGCTGGGTTCAAAACATGCACCTGGACATCTAAGGGCACCTGCAGTTGAATAAGTATGTCCGACATCTCAGCGACTTTCACATTATAGGGAGACGGGGAAACTAGGCCGGGCAGGTGCGCCAAGGATGTGCTGGCAGGAGCTGTGGCGGTTTCTTTGGAAACTTAGGACACTACTTTTCATGTAACTGTGATTTAGTTAAGTCCACTTCCATTGTAAGTGGACATGCACATAGACTTTGGCATCCTTCAGGTTTGGCTTTATTAGTAGAATGGACAGGTTAGCTTTTATTTGCTGTTAAATTTCAATGTCAGATGTATTCCTTCTCTGAAAATTCAAATGACCTTTTTTTTCTTGGCCATTGTAGGGGTGCTTCCTAAACTTTGTTGGACTATCCCAGGGTGTCTTCATTGACCACAAGTCACCTTTTGATTGGTCTTCTTGTGGAGAATGCAGGGAAGTAGAAAATTAGAAAACAGAACCAAAGACTTAGCTCTGCAGTCAAAGTCATTATTCTGGAGTTAATATTAGACTAGTGTTTTTTTAGAAACACCGGAATACTGGTTGACTCCTTTTGTGTGCATTGAGAAGAACCAATTGTTTCCTGCAGGAAAGAGAATCTCGTGAACATCTCCGTTTAGGGTTGATGGGCCTTCCTGCCCCCAAGAACGATTTTGAAATTGTTCTGCCAGAAAATGCTGAGAAGGAACTGGAAGAACGTGAAGTGGATGATACGTACATTGAAGACGCTGCTGATGTGGACGCTCGCAAGCAGGTGGGTGTGGGGTGAGAAGAATGTTTGCAGCCGGGGGTCAGAAGGTTTGAAGAAAGGCATTAATGTCCCTGCTTAGGAGTATTTTCAACATTTAAAGTAATTATCCTAAATTAGGTTACATCATTAAAACTACATGCTGGCATCATTGATAGTATACTCACAGTATGTATATGTGTATGGAAATTTACTCTGTTAAATTTATTGTGCATTGGTAAAATACTTAGAGGTAGTTGTTTAGATATTGCTTTAGTTCTCATGAAGAAAAGATGTTAAAAACATGTATCTTGGGCTAGTGGAGTAAATAGTTTAAGTGAAAATTTAATAAAACACTAGATTTAGAAGTTTGCACAAATGTGTCAGAGAACATTAGTAACATACAGTACTAATGTGTTATGGTTACTCTCTCATTTGTATGTAACAGCCAAGTGATATATCATTAGCTCCAGTTTTGAAATGAACAGAGAGGCTTAGATGGATTAGGTTCACTTTCTCAAGTCTTGTGTCTGCAAAGTCCTGAATCCTGAATCAGAAATGAGTTTATGACTCAGGATGATTTTAGGAAGCTTTCATCTTGGCGGGGCTTGTGTGAGTGACATCAGTGGAGATCCTTGTCCAAGGGAGCCATGTACCTCAGCATGCTTCATGGTGGCAAGATGTGGATATACTTTTTGTATTTTGTATTCTCAGCTAGTATGAATTACTTGTACTTTTTCAGAAATGGCATGGAGTTTTAATGTGTTACTACATTGTTTATACCACAACAATAAGGAAAGATTGGCTGACTGTTAAAAGTCTAGCTTTGGGATGAAAGGGCAGGTCCATGTTGTGGAGTCCCTTGAATTTCAGATTGCCATTTAGATAGAAAAGTAATTCTCTGATGGATGGAGGCCAGTCATTAGGGAAGTGCTGTGGTAGATGCTGCAAGCTCTCAGGTTCTATTGTAGTAACAATGAATAGACTGAGGGATTTCTGTCCTGCCTTAAGCATTACCTTTCTCCAAACTGACAAAGATTTCTGCAGCTCTGTGTTCTAAACATTCCTCCCCCTACCAAAAAAAATGAATTTTAGCTGGGCATGGTGGTGCATGCCTGTAATCCCAGCACTTGGGAGGCTGAGGCAGGAAGAACACTGAGTTTGAGGTCAGCATGGGCTACATAGTAAACTCAAGGCCAGCCTCAACTACACAGCAAGGAGCCACCCCCCAAAAAAGAAAGTGGTTTTTGTTGGTAGAACATTCCTGATTGCAATAGACTGAAGTACTTTTAATTTTATTGAGAAGTATCAAATACAGTAATTGATGTCAAATCGTTTTTTAGGCCATACGTGAGGCAGAGCGTGTAAAGGAGATGAAACGAATGCACAAAGCTGTCCAGAAAGATTTGCCAAGACCTTCTGAAGTAAGTATTGAAATTTCTGGTTTAGGAAGTTTTGTTTCATTTCTTTTCCCTCCCTCTCTTCTGTCTGTCTTTCCTTCCTCCCATGTTTAGTACTAGGGATTGAATGTACAGCCTCTGTACTGAGCTACTTTCCTAACCCTTCTGAACATTGACATCCCTAAGTAGCCACATTGCCCAGGCTGGTCTCAAACCTGTGATCCTCCTGCCTCAGCCTCTCTAGCATGCCACTCAGGCATGTACCACCACACCTGGCTTTTAAGTTCTTTTTTATATAGTTAATACCTCTTACATTACTCATGAAGACTATAAAAGGACTATAAAAGGAAAGTGGACTGGGGCTGGAGGTTTAGCTTAGCGGCATAAGTGCCTGCCTTGGAAGCAGGCAGTCGTGAGTTCAATCCCCGGTACCGATAAAAAGGAAAAAGACAAAAAAAAAAAAAAAACCCCAAAAAAACAAAGGAAAGGGGACCAAGGAGGGGGCCAAAAGAATTAAGATGCGTTATGTGCTTGCACCAACTCCCCATGATGAATGTAATCATTATGGGCTGATCCTTACAGCAGTTTAAAAGGAAAATAAAATAACTTTTAAAAATGTAAAATTGCTATTTAATTCATGCTGTAAAAGCAGTAGTAGTGGTAGGTGGTATATTTGTTAATTGTACTTGTTTTAAAATTTTAGGTAAATGAAACTATTCTAAGACCGTTAAATGTAGAACCACCTCTAACAGATTTACAGAAAAGTGAAGAATTAATAAAAAAAGAAATGATTACAATGCTTCATTATGACCTTCTACATCACCCCTACGAACCTGCTGGAAATAAGAAAGGAAAAACTGTAGGATTTGGTACCAATAACTCAGAGCACATCACCTATCTGGAACATAATCCTTATGAAAAGTTCTCTAAAGAAGAGCTGAAGAAGGTATGATTGAACACAGGTATTTTTGTTACGAGATTTAAATGTTTGTTAGGTGCTGTGTGTGTTGTGGGCAAGCATGAATGTGTTTTCGTGGATAAGCACTCATGAGCAACACAAGCATGTGGTTGAGAGAGAAGTGTTCATATTAAGTGTGTGAAAAGACAGGCTTTAAATAATTTCACGGCCGCATTTATCCGGTATCCTGGTTTTGGTGGCAAGGTCTTTTGGGTTAATGTGCATCGTTGCTTTGGTGGACAGTTGCAGCAATTGCCATTTTCTGTGTTCAGCTCTGCTGTCTCAGAATAGAACTGAGTGCCTTTAATGCTTAAAGCTCACTCACTTAGCCTATAAGAAAACCGAGAGGCTGGGGATATAGCGCAGCACCTGCTTGCGAGGTCCTAAGTTTGATTCCTGATACCAAACAAAATCAAGAATTTATAGATACTCTTGGATTTATGATGGATTATGTCCTAATAACCCACTGTAAGTTGAAAATAGTATTTTATAAATGCATTTTCTCCCCGTAGCCCTCCATGCCTCGTGGCAGTGCTGCAGTCTCTAGCAGGACCACAGTGCAGGCAGGAGCTACTGCCCAGCTTTTCACGAGAGCTCTTGTGCTGCCTGTTGATAGCCTGTGAACAGGGCAGAATTCAAAATATTGGATGCATAGTACCTTTATACCATTGTAATATTGAAAAGTCAAAGTATCCGTTGGTGACTGTCAGCATTAAAAGTATTAACACATTAAACCACTCACCAGTTCAAAGAAAGAAAATACTTTCTACAGAATTTACTTCTTTCACATAATTTCCTTTTATGTGTAATGAAGAAACAATATCTGGGGCTGGGGCATAAGTGCCTGCCTTGCAAGCCTGCAGTCGTGAGTTCGATCCCCAGTACTGATTAAAAAAAGAAACAATTTCTGTACAGTCTGTGTCGTGCTTCTTCTCCAGTACACATTTCATTCTTTCTGCTTGACAGAGCAAGCAGCTGTGATTAGAAGTCTCTGCAGTAGTATAAGGAAATAGTTTCTAGTTGGAAGCTGTTATGGTTTGAGTGTGTCTTGTAAAACTCAGATTGAAATTTAATTGCTGCATAACATTGGGAGGGGAGCACCATTAGGAAGGGATTACACTATAGGTTTTATCCCCCGCCCCACCAAGGGGTGTTAGCCCCTCTTGGTGGTGTCCTCTGCCATGGTATTTACCAGATGCAGCCAGTTATCTTGGACTTCTGGCCTCCAGATCTGTGAGAGGAGGTTTCTGAGCCAGCCAGGCCGTGGTGTCCTTCTGCTGTGTGCAGCCCTGGGGAGGCCCAGACGCCTTGCATGCCGGCAGGCACCGCAGGCTTCTTCCTCCGGTCTTCTCTCCTGCTTGAGCTCCCTTTTCCCACACCCTCAGATTCTTTCTGTCTGAGCTCCTTATTGCACAAGTCATTCATGTTTATTAGAGGATTTTGAGACAGTGAAGAGAGGAAGGAGGTTTAGATTTATATTTCAACATTTTGCCCTGGATTTCTGGGCACCTTTGAGCCTTCTTTTTTAGTGGGTGGGATAGGGAAACTGACGAGCGCTGAGTGCCTGCCCTGGCAGGCCAGTTAATCACCGGGTGGGACCAGGCTCTGAAGTCAGTACTGCATAGTGCCCTCCTTTTAGAGTGAAAATAGGAGAAGAAGGAGTTTAGGAAATAAATCTTCTCAAATTTATTGTGTGCATGGCAATGTGAAACAAGGATCCCATTGTTGCTCCTAGAGATTTTGAGGAGAGACATTCTAATACAGGTTTTGAGGATAATAATTCTAAGTGCTGCTTTGGGATTATATAAAACAAATAATGTTAAATATCGTCAGTGTTCTGTTTTGTTTGTATTCATCTTTGTTCCCAAAAGAATTTGAAGCAGATTCCTTATTCTTATTCTCTAAAGATAACTTAGCTACATTCTCTCCTGAGGACAAGAGCTGAACTTAAACATTTTTACTGTATATAATTTTCGAATGAAATGCTGTTTCTCTTTTAATCGAGTTTTGAATTTTCATGAAGTATGTTAAAATAGATTTGTTTAATTTCTCGATAGGTATTGCTTAAAGCTATCTATTCTTTATTTTCTATTGAAATGACTTTTATTAACATTTTTGGTTGGTTGTTGGTTATTTCTCTTGTTTATGGTTTTTTTTCACCCCTGCTTTTTGAGACAGGGTTTCACTGTGTAGTTCAGGCTGCCTTGAACTCACTGTGTAGCCCAGGCTGGCCTTAAACTCTTGTTTGTGTATTTTTGACATGTTTATTTTTCAGTGTTACTAGAAGGACTGAAAGCTTTCTCTAAGGCATGGAGGTGGTTGCCAGTTTTTCTGGAACCATGATGAGAGAGGGCTATGTGATTTCTCGTGGAACTCTGTCTGGTGTTGGGCTATGCTCTTAAATATGTTATTGTTTATTTAATACTAATGAACATGTCAGGGAAGCATCTCATTTTTCAGCTGAGAAATGGGCTCAGAGAAATTAAGCCATTCAGACAGCCATCTGTATGGTAAAGCTGTGATTAAAACTGAGGTTCTTTAGGAGTGAATGGAACCTGCCATGTGGTCCATTATTATCTAGTTTGTGCTCGTACTCTTGTTGTCTGGCAACCTCAGGGACATTCCTTCAAAATGGGAAACAGGCTGTGTGAAGAAGAGGCCGGGTCCCTTTCCCTGCCGTGCGGTTGTAAGCGCAGGTTGGCTGGTGGAGCCGTTGGAGTCCAGCCCAGTTGCGGTGCTGCTGCTGCCTTGCTCGTGTCCTGCCTTGCCTGCTCACTTGTTCCAGTGGTGTGGTCTGGAATAAACTGTTTAATCCGGCTGAGCTTTAGTTTTACTGACTTTGAGATGAGGTTGCCATATTGGTTCCTTTTTAAGATGGTTATGATCTGTGGAGATAGTGGAAGTAAACTTTTAAGTACATAGTATATAAATGAGACATATTGTAGCTGCTGTTACAGTGAGCAGAAGCAAAATGTGTTTATACTCTTGGAGAAACAAGTATGCTTGTCTTTTTAAAATTAGTCCGCACTAGTTGTGTCATAGGCTTTTGAATCCACTTGACTTAGCTCTCTCTACCCTCTAAGCCCTCCCTCTAAGCCCTTACAAGAAGAAACAACCAACCAGAACTGTTAACCTTTGGCCGAGGAGGACAGAAACTAAGCTTTTGAAGCCCTCTGCTGATGGCAACGATTTGTTATGCTTACCCTTACTGAATTTGTTATTGTGAACAGGCCCAGGACATTCTGGTGCAGGAGATGGAAGTGGTCAAACAAGGAATGAGTCACGGAGAACTCTCCAGTGAAGCCTATAACCAGGTGTGGGAAGAATGCTACAGTCAAGTTTTGTATCTTCCTGGACAGAGCCGCTATACACGGGCCAACCTAGCTAGCAAAAAGGACAGGATTGAATCGCTTGAAAAGAGGCTGGAGGTTGGTATTCTTCTACAGTCCTAATTCACATGTGCCTTCATTGACATTATGAACCAAGTAATACACTGGCAACATCTTCAGTAAAATAGATCTCAATTGGTTATTGCCTTTGAGGTCTTGAGGAAAGGTAGACTCAAGTGCTTGCTTTACCTCAGCCTTTGTTAATCAGTTTCAGAATTGCTGGCCTTCCAAAGAGTGCCCTGCAGGTTGGACCCGTCCTACATGGGAGCAAGGAGCCTTAGAGCCAATACTGCACAGCAGTCTGTTTAAGGAAGACACTCAGTGGGACCACAGGGTTTCCTTTCTGTAGATGGAGAGCACATGTTCAAGTTTTAATACTTGTCTATGCTCTGACTCCAGTAGGCTTGAGTTAGAAAGGGTGGAGTGGGTTACCAGACTATAGCTTCTGTGATTTTCCACGTCTGTGAAAATGTTGCCACATTCTAGATGCAGTTTCATGGCATGTGGTTTCTTAATATAGTCTGCATGTTTTGAATACCAGAATCTGTGTCGGCATCTTGCCAGTGACATGTAAATTGTGGTTCACAGACCACCAGGCTGCCTTGTGGATTCTTAATGGTGGTCTTTAGGGATGTTTCTCCTGCCAGGATGTGATGGGAAGAAGGGATACTTCCCACAGTTGTATGTGGAAAGTAACTTCAGTTTTCTCTGTTACGTTCTTACCAGTTTTTCTTTGCAGAAAGGAGGTTTGAAAATATTTATATTAAGGTTTAATTCAATACAGTAAATCACCTGGGGTGGTTGGGGCTGCGAGAAGCAAGCAGGGTGAAGCAGTGTCTTTTCACTTGAGTTATTCCAAGTGTTAATTTAAGCTCTAAGACTGCATTATAGGCACCTGATGGTTAATACCTGCAAGCCTCAGTTTTCAGTTAGTGGGAGATCAGTGCTTCCAGAATAATTCTCATCTTGGTAGAACCTTAAATTGAGGGCTGCTGCTCATGCTGGCTGTATTAGTAACTTCCAGCAGGGTGTGCTGTTGCTCTGTGTTTTATTCTGGGTTAAAGTTGGGGGAGGAGAGAGCATTGATGGCTAAGGTTTAAGTTATACTTAGTGTTGTGAAGACTTCATTTCTTATAAATGCTAGTTAGCAATGTAATTCTGATCTAAGGTCAGCATAGTAATTGATTAGAAAGCTATTTGGAAAATTTCCTTGTAACATGTATGTGTAAATACTCACTTAGTTTGAAAATCTTCTCATTTGAGGTGGGTAAACTCTCTGTCACAAATAGCAAGGACATTTTGTGCTGTTTCAAATAAAAAATTTTTTTTCTCTAAATCTCATTTACTTTGTTGAGGCACTAACTTTCACAACAGCAAATAAATGTGTCACAAAGTGAGTGGTGCCATAAAGTACAGTAATTTTTATTTCTGTGTTGAATAGGCCTTGTGAGTTTTGAAGGGAAAAATGCAGAAAGAACCACGGCTGTTCTTTTGGAGATTTATTTGGGTCGTTTATGAGCAACCATTAAAAACATGTGGTTCTCTTTGTTCAGTGCAGTACCAGGAACTGAAATCTTCCGTTGAACTATTTTTGTTGAAGGATTGGTGATTTTGGAAGAATATTCATAAAACAATCTGAAGTAATTTTTTCTCTTCTTGACTCCTGGATAACTCGCTCCATTGTTTACCCAGCTAGTTACTTTTAAGGAATACTTAATCAGATCCTTTAATTTAGTAAACTATGCTTATTTCAAATGAAAGTTCATTAAATCTTTAAGGAGAAAAGCAACTCAAAGACCCAAATAAACAAATTCCCCATTTTATTTGTATCCATCCCAGATTCAGAACAAGGTTTCTCTTAGCTTTTGAAGATTCAATTTTACTGGTTTGAAATACATAAATATTTTATTTCATTTGTGGTAATTCTTTCATCATTTCAGTTGATTGCTAAATTATAAACATTATTCAAAGTTTGTTGTGGGGAAGGAACTCCAGTTATATTGTATAAACTAAATGCTGTACTTAAATTACCCTCCCCACTCTTGGGTTCAGGGAGATGGCCTTTCTGGGCACGCACAGCACACCGTGGCTGCCAGTGTGTTTGACTTTTGCTGCCATGAACTTTGGAACAGTGAATGTAAATTGTGGCCTGATCACAGCCCATCAGGCAAGATGAAATCCAGCTCTGTCGTGGCTGATGGCCCCTAAATGGATTAAAAAAATATGCCATGGGATTTATCTTGGAGCTAGTTATTGAGCCATTTCTTGTGATTAATATTTGAAACTCAGTATACTTAAATGAAAATCCTTAAGTTGCTCATTTAAAATTAGAACCATTCTCAGATTTTATGTAGGGTGCCACAGAAGCTGTGCGCATGTGTGCATGTGCACACATGAAGTCTGTTAAACACGTATCAGCTCTGGAGTCACCCACCGGTCAGAAGTAAGTGGAAAAGACTTTTGAATTGTAACCAAGTCCATGCATTTTATTCTGCTTCAGAGGGAGAATTCACTCAGACTTGGGGATCAAACTCTTGTCCTTGTACTTGCCAGGCAGGCACTTACGCCACTGAGCTAAATCCTTAGCCCCTTTACTCAGACTCTTGCCAGACATTTGTGTGTACAGGGGCAGCAGTGATAAGCAGAAATGACAGCTCATCTCAGAGAACGGAAAGTGGTGAGAGCATGTACAGAGGGCATAGGAACGTGGCGGCAAGATCTTGTGCATCTGAACGGTTTCTGGGGGCACAGCAGGTGTTCAGTTGGAGCGCAGAGCCTTGAGCCGTGGCTGTTTGTATTGATCCTCCAAAGGAAGAAGACAAGCTTAATTTCTGTTCAATGTCTTTTTTTTCTTTCTCTTTTTAAAAGAAGGAACAACTGGAAGTTGAGTGTGGTGGTGGTTTCTGTAATCCCATCATTTGAGAAGCTGAGGCGGGGCTATTGCTAGGAGTTCAAGGCAAGCCTGCACTACAGGCTGAACTTCCTGTCTCAACCTCCGCCCCCTCCAGAGAAGGAAAACCTTTACCAACTGGTTAAAAAATAAAAGAACTTTCCTCTTATTTACTCTTTATGTTCAGAGGGTGCGAGTGAGCATGTGTTGTGTACCGGACACTCTTCTGGGCCCCGGGTACCAAGCTGGGGACAGAATGGAGTGCTCTCTGCTCTCAGGGGTGGCAGTTGTCTGCCCAGTGATGGTGCCGGATAAATGAGTCACTTCCGTATTGGGAAATGCAAATAGAATTTGAAGTGTTCTAATTTGTTTCCACTTTAAGTGGAAATAGGAAATCATCTGAAGACATAATTATTTTGAGTGAAATAATTTCCACTGGTGCAAAAGTCAAACGAAAAGTCTGAATTTAGGCCTGCCATTAAATTTAATAGTATTTGAAATAGTATCTAAATGGCTGTGTTGAGGAAGCTTGGCTGAAAAGTGGATTTTGTCATATTAGCTATAAAAATGGAAAGCTTTCCTTAGAGGTAGAAGCTGAGTCCAGCAGTAATATGTCTCCCTGCATTTTACTGGCGCAGTCAAGGTAGTCAAGAAATATTATGTAGTGTTGACTTATTGGCAATAAAGTAACTTAAAAAACACAGATAACACATTTAAAATCCTTCCCAGTGTTTCTGTAAAACTCTTTTGAGGACCCCTGACTTTCCTGAGGGTTATGTTTCAGCAAAATTGGCTGCACAACGAATCCTATTTTCTCAGTGATTTCATTATGGAGCTGGTTATTTTTACAGAGGGACAAGTTTCCATAGTGCTGGAGAGCGAAAGGAGGGTGAAGGCGAGTTGGTGGGTAGTGTGGTTGGAGGGTGCCACAGTGGTCACTGTCGCCGCCGTGCCTGCTCTTGCTCCCCTGTCTCGGAGCTGTGTTGGGAGGAGTGGTGTGCAGTGCCAGGGCGACGCTCCCAGTCTGTGGGATGCTGTCTCCAGGGCCTGCCCTCTCCATGACCCTCGACTGCGTTGGCAGAGTTCTTAATTGTCCCTGGGGAATGCTGAAAGCAGCCTGGAGGTCTCCCTAGTGCCCAGGCTGCTTGGCACTCCCAGGTGCCACTGATATTATTCTGGGAAGTTTGTGTTTCCCTTCCCAACAGTGCAGATGCGGGTGCTCCCTCAGTGTGCTCCTGTCTTGGAAGGATTGCAGTAGGTGTGCCTTGCTGTTGGCTTGCTGACCAGGAGTCTAGTCTGGTGGCTGCTTCCCCTGGTAGACTTGAGCACTGTTAACCTCCTTGCCCCTGTAGCTCATGCGTAGAGAGCAAGTTCCCTGGAAACCCTGTCCGGTGAGGCACATGGAAGCTAAAGGAAAGCCACTCACAAACTAGTTTACAGGCATGGTGATGGCCCCACGTCTTTACTTTTCAAGGGTCCCATTGCTGAAGGATGGCCAGGAAGTGGAGCTGCTGCTGCTGAATGTGTATTTCAAGTAGTCTTAACCCTGTTTCTGCAGTGCTCACCGGTTATGTTCTGGGCTCCCGAGCAAGCAGCATTTCAGTGAGGGATGCTCTTAATGTTCCTGCACTTCCCTCGCAGTCTCTCACTGAAGACAGTACTGGAGGCCCAAGGAGGGAGTGTTTATTTTGGAATTTTTTAAGCTTAGCAACCTTAACAAGCTCAGTGAGCTTGAAAGTAACAATTACACTTTTATAAGTCCCATACAGCCCCCTTTTGTAATGACCCAAAGAAACACTTACAGGTCCGCTGATTCATCTCCTGGGGACCATCAGTTTTCCATTGGTCTCTGGCCAGTCTTTTTGAGACAGTTTCTCTTCTATGCATTTAAAAAAATAACATTTGTAGACTTTTTCTAAAAATAATACCCATGCTTTGTAGAAAATTTAACAGAAGTAGAAAAAATATAGAAGAAGCCTACTATCCAGTTGTGGTCACCTCAAACATTTTTGTGCACACACAGCCTTTTATCTTTCTTTCAGCGTGTAGATGAAGGGAGGAAGTATTTAAAACTAAATTGGAATGATGATATACTTTTTCATTTATTTTTCACTACTATAGTACATAGGATTTTTTAAAAAGAAAACCT